TTTCGCTCAAGGAGTTGATGTAAGGTCCTAAGTTTCGCTAGATCACCAACAAGTTTCTCAACTGGCGAAGTCTTACCTTATGTATAAAACTGGCCTGTGCGCTGTGCACAGCAGCAGCAATATTCCGCTATAACCGAATGCCGTGTTTGTCCGATTGAGCTATAGCAGTATTTTATTTACAAAGATAAAAAAGGGAAAATAACGGGGTTTTAGAATAGTGTCTTAATAACAGACTTCTCGTTGTTTCAGGACTCGTTATAAGTGGACTCCACTGTATGTAATTTTTCTCAGTTCCACTTATCTATGAAATAATGAGTATATGTTCAAGAAATTAATACCTTTTCAAAAAAAGAAAAATTAAAGTATATAATGAAACAAATTACGTCAAAAAATATTTCACTAACAGCACACAATTCTCTTATTTATTATTATTATAGTAGAGGGTTTTATGGCGCTCGCAACTGCATAAAGTAATATGAGCGCCAAGGGGTGGGTGTCAACAGAGAAGTCTTTACAGGAAATCAGACTTACTCTGCTCACCTCTCTAGCTTCAACAGCACAAGGTCTGCTTCAACTATCAAGGCACCCTGGAAATAGCAGGTCACAAGAGTGTGACAAACAATAACATACAAAAGAAGTAGAGGAAAATGACAATAGTAAGGATTAGGAAAGAAAAAGCAGCAGTTCCCTGTTGTAGATCAGGCACAGTTATTAGCGTGACATGAATCAGCCCATTTACAATTCTACTGTGCTTGAACGAGAAATGTCACCCCTTTGGGAATGGCCTAAAGACACTACAGTCAACAATTCTTTTAGTAGATCTGCAGATTTACATGCCCACATCAGGCATACAGCTTAACCTTTTAAATTCAGAAGGCTTTACCAAAGAAAAGAACACACAACATGAAAAAAGACACCTTTCATCACTGGGAAGTCATAGGGACAGTCATTTTTTTGTTACACGCATCTCCCATAACATAATGACAACAGTAATAGCCTTGCCACAGCCTTTTAAGTAAAACCAATTGTCATAGTAAGTACACAAGAATCTAATGCAAGCCTCATATACATCTCTCTGTCTTTTAAAGTACAGTTACAAATGGCAAAGGTACCTCCCTCCCCCCCCCCCCTCCCCACCTACACATTATTTGACTTTTGTTGGTTTAGACAGAACAGTGGGGGAAGAATCAAACAAGAAAGCAAATGAATGCTAGGCGAACAGAAAGGGGCATTACTTCACCTTTGTCCCTAACATTTGGTCCCAAAGGTAATAGTTAGTTTCCATGGGGGGACAAATGAGATCAGGTAGGCACTCTGACAAACTCTCTGTCAAGGAACACACCATATACTAAACTCAGAGAAGAAAACTGCTACACATACAATTAAGATACAACTCCCCCAGAAAGTTAAGACAGACGAAGGCAAAGACATTCATTCATAGAGGACTCACAACACATTGTGTCTCAGAGCAATACTCCTTCGGAATAGAAAAATGAATAAATAAATCAGTATAAAACAATTGAACTGCGTAATAGTAAAAGTCAAGACCTGTTAGAACTGTGGCTTACAAAAGGCTGACATCTAAAAAATCCGACTAATGGTTACTTAACTCTGTGAAATCATTTTCTTTTGAGAGTGGAAATTGGCATTTTAATTTTATTAGAGGTGTGTTTCTTCATTGGACTGTCTAGTCTTCAACTCAAAGCAACTAATGCAAACTAACATTAGAAGTAATCACCACAACAAGAAAGGAAATGATTCAGTCCGAAACATTCTCAACATGGGTAGACTCAAACCCAAAACTACCCCTTTCTTGTGGAAAAAATGGACCTTGCAACTTTTCCCAGCACGCTGAGGTAATTTACATTTTTCAAGTATACTGTATTCCATTCTGTTCTATCACTGACTTGTCATACCCTTAATTACACATGTACCTGTACGCGTGAAGGCTGAAATTCCAAACAGAACGATGTAAGTAGAGAGGCAAGTTGAATCTCAAGCAATCAGTATATGCTGAAATGTGACAATCATCAGCACAGACTTATGCCAATATTAGCTATGCTAGCATGATGTATTTCGTTAAAGTTCATCAAACACTACAAAAAACCCCAAGACAAATGTGACCACACAAACAAACAAAAAAGCCAAAGTAATTATCCTGCCAATCTAAGAAATATTATGGAATATAAAGACTACGGTTAAATACAGTCTATCAATACACAGCTAAACAGTCTGCGTATTAGATTATTTCATTACTTGACCCAAGGTTAATTTCCAGGGCTATGTGATCTGGCTCATAAATAACTATTGAGTGAAATGCATTCACGAGGTTAAAAGATATGCTATGAGGATTCCTTTGTGTACTCAGTTTTTGCATGTACTAGCTATAAATTGTCGATAAACCAATAAAACATAAAAGAATTACAGACATTTTTTTTGCTCCTCAGATTTCAGGTTCTTCACAGAGGTAGATGTAAGTAACCACAGAAACAGAATTATCTTGAAACAATCTGAAATTGCAGAAAGACAACACAAAGTTGGGTCTTCTACAGCAGCCATTAGAACTGATTCATACATGTAGGGGCCTATATATATGCACATGCATCATTTCTTACAAAATGGATTTCTTTAATACCATTATTTGTCAAGGTATTGTAAAGCTGAATACATGAGATATGTGATTTAAATACCTGTCCCACAGTGCAAAAATAGAAACCAAATATAAGTAAAGGCGCTATATTTACACAACTAGAAGCAGTGCATTGGATTTGACATTAAGGTGTAAGTCAGTCGCAGAACTGTTTCACTATGACACCTAACGAACAATTATTCACATTAATTTTCACATGACAAAAACACCCAGTGCCTCTCCTTCCAAAACATTCTGAAATTGTTTGTTATGAGCAGGACAGTAAAATCTTAAAACTTTGCCGACTGATATTCTCATAAAACACAGAACAAATGTTCAAAATCCTTTTGTTACACCACTGTAGCAATACAAAATCTAGGAAAACTTAAGCTTGATCCACTCAATAATCAGTCAGTCAGTCACAACCTCATCAATGTGCATGCAGCTCACAGCAGCCCGGCCGCTACTGGCCAGATCATTTAGCACAATATAAGAAAAATATGTGGTGCCCGCATCACAAGTTTAAGTAACTTATAACAGTAATTTTACTCAGCAATAGAAGGGTGAAACAGGAGACGGAGTGCAAAATACATAAAAAAATAAATACTGATCAAAACAGAACCTGCAAGTTCACGTACGTCATAAACCAGTCTCTTCCTGGATCTTTCCTCATACTTCCATTTCTTCTTTGTTGCCACTCAAAAAATCATAAGCAAAGATATTTTTACGCTTTATTTCATTCAATTTACTACTTATCTTTTTCTTCTTCCTCTCACTGAAACGGACTCACGCTTACAGTGAAATATTGTTTCTTCTGTGCCACTCACTGCTCCGAACTACACAGATGACCATGTAAATTATTGTAAATGGACACATATGCAACAATATCAAGTTGTAATATCATGAAGCTCATCTCTCAAGCATACATGCACTGAGCACCTTTGTAGGGGGGGGGGGAGGGGGAAAAGTCTAGTTGAGGCTTCAGAACAGCAGAAAACTAAACTGATAAAAAGTGCAGTAAGTCAAGTCCAGACGCAATGAAACTTTAAACATATACTGAGAAGTGCCAACCCCAACCTTAAAATAAATAGGTTTCCATGCTACATGATATTAGAACCCACAATTCCAATCTTTAGATTCTGACAGTCACATTAAAAGCAATTTCAATGCACATGGGTGAGACACTAAACAACACAATGCCACAAGAGATGTTATACTGTGTGAAAGTCAGATTTCCTAGCAAATACAACAAAAGAGGCCCTCTGACAAAAAAATTCCTTTTACGATCAGATACAGATCTGAAGAAAAAGAAAGGTAAATTTCGAGTCATAAGAAATCAAGAGGAATGTGTCAGATAAAAAAAAGGCTGTAAGACTTTCAAAATGCATTCCTATAGAACAAATTTTGAAAGTTACCCCTCTTCATTCTGTCCTAAACATGATGAAAAGAATAAAGTACGCAACTTTGAGAGTATTTTGCTCACCCAAAACCCAGTTTAGGAAGGGAATGAAGATTTGCTACAAGCGTTTATTTTTATATCAGCTGTCAATATTCACAAGACAAAGAGCACGGTAAGGCCACATGGACATCCACTACAAGTTTTGATAAACACATAAATGTGATTTCTAGATAAACTAAGTAAGATAACATGAGCAAGAAGGAGTCTCCTTCCCATTTTGTTTCACAGTCAAGTGATCTTTGGAACAGTAAGTCACACTCACTTTGTGCCATCACTGACACAAAGTTTTACGAATCTGTACATTAAAAAAGTCTCCACATCTGAGTCTTAAAAAAGCCCTGATGCTAAAAGAGAGAGTTTTGTCTAAATCAACATCCCAGGATTCGACCAAAAGTATATTAACTACACAAAAGAGACAATTTTCAAGATCACAGCCATCGTGTGAAATGGTGACATCTGAACAAAATAAAAATAAGCAAAAAAATGGTAGAATAGCTATAAAAGCAAAACGTAGTATGTATAACATGTTTAAAAAACCAAAAAAACTAAATCTAAACAATACATAGTATTTCTAAGATAAGTTAATTAATTTTATTTTCTATTCTAAATCATAAAGTTAAATAAGAATATGGATTATGAAGGTGTGATTTCCTCTGCACTGTGACCACATTTGTCAGGAACAGAAAGCTCCACAGCACCAACTAATCACATGTGGAAGAGAACTTCTACTCCTGACAGAGAAAATATGATAAAATATCACATACTTTGCAGGACTTATGGTTCGCTGTGACAGGACAACCGAGGCTGGTTCACTCACTTGATTCTGGAGCAGGTACTGTTGTCTGAAACAGGTTTTCATTTAGAGATTTTCCTTGCATTGTCTTTATTTTAAAATCTATCACCGTATTAGTATTTTTTCTTTCTTTTTAAAATCTTGTGTGTGTGCGGGTGTGTGTGTATGTTATCCTTAGATAAAATGGTAGAAGGGTGAGAATGGTGCATAAATTTCTAAAACAGCCCTCATGCTATAGGTACTTCACATAGCATTTCCAACACTTCAAAGGGCTGAGAAGGGATGTTGCTCTCTACCTCATCCAGTTAAGTGGGGTTTGCGTCAAGAGAAGCATGTGGTCACAGGAATCACCATTTTAGGTGGCAGGAAAGAGAAAAGACAAACAACAAATAAAGAAAAAGAGCAGGATCCAATGATAATACTCTCCTCACCCATTAAAAAGAAAATTAAGAACACATTATAGTATTCATATGTAACACAAGATGGATAAAATGAATGATTAACTATTTTCAGTCTCTCTCAAAAAGACTCCCACAATTTCCCTCCTTAAAAAAAGGGATGAACTTATGCAAACTAGTTGCTAAAACAATTATGTCATGGTCAAGAACATGGCGAATGAACACATTGTATTCGTACATAACATTTTGCAAGCAATAATGATATGAAGTACAGCACTTATTCGAGCATCACATAAAATGACAAAATAGATAATTCATCTTTGAGAACATCATACTATTTGCAAGGTGTTCTGACACTTAATCTTAATACACATCAGCATGCATTTTTGTAACAAGCCACTGGTGAATACTATGCTTAAAAACAAGTCTGTGATGAAAATATGAGAAATAGTTTTTCCTTCATGACAGTTACAACAAGGAATAAAAGACTCCCAACTCATTTAGCATCAAGTCAGCACTCGTCCTAGTAAAAAAAAAACTACATAAAAAATAACAAAAACATTTCACACACAGTACACAATTTAAAAAACCTTTCATATCATACAAATTCTATACCTTCATATTTAACATCACCAATTTTCTTTTCGGGCATCAGAGTGTTCCCATTTATATCAAAAGCAAGAATGTAAGAGGCAATTTTTCCATTATCCTCCTCACTCTTAAGGGCAACAATAATACTGTCCTCAGTACCAGGAATGAATTTGAAGGATGAAAACCCATGAGTAGGGTTCAGTGACCCAATCTTCTTAATCTCAACACTTGTAAAATCTTCATCGGCGATGAACATTAAATTTGTAGCTCTTTTTTCATCTTTTACTTCATCGTATGTCTCTGTACTTGCTCGACGGGGAAGGAAAAACCATTTCTTGTGAACATCACTCCATACACCTGATTCATGTATGATATACCCTGTGGAATAAATCACAAAAGAGAGTGTTCACTTTTTAAATTAAATGAAACAATAAAAAACACAAATCTCCCCATGTCATCATGTTACAAATAATTTCCAATGAAGTAACAGAAAATGCTAAAAAAAAATAGCAAAAAATATGGAACAATAATCTGTACTCAGTGATGATGTTTTTAAGACTAAATATGTCATATTGATCACCACATTGGTATGCAAATCATCTTTTCTCTTGTCACATTTAAAGAAGCCTCGAATCTTAAAAAACTTAATGCTGTATGTACGCTGAGTAGTTTTTGAATATTATACACCCTGCACATAAAATCAGCAAAGAGATAGAAACTGTGGCAACAGATTCTATGTAAAAGGAAAATGGGATGGTAGTGTCCTGCAGAGATGCTTACAAATAAACCTACATATACAGTCGAACCTGCCCTGACGGCCACCTCTATAAGACGACCACCTGTACAAACGGCCACTTTCCATTTCCCCCCTTGCGTTTTTTCTATATAATTTAACAGTGTAAAACGGGCACCTGTCCAACACAGCCGCGGCCACCTTATTTTAATACACAACCCCTATCACACAAAGCAATAACACCTATCTTAGACGGCCACCTTAGTGACTCCATTACGTTTTGTCATAAACTGTGCATTGGCCCCTGGCGTTGTGGGCGAGCCGTCATAATTCAATCACCTGTCGTTGTTGTTAGGTAGTCCCTCCAACCGATCATGTTGCGTAGGCCCCTCCCACTGTTGACCAATAGGTAACAAATTTTCAGCTGCCATAAAGGTAAGCGAGTGATCCCTCATAACCTATAAGCCCCGCCCAGAACTCATACACAAATCAGAAGTGAGATGGGTGGTCACTGTTTACCCAGTCTGTAACAAAGTAACAATGGACGTCAACATGAACTTGAGACAGAAACGTCGCTCGTTCCCCGAGTGGTAGAGACCCATGTGTTTGTTTTACCATAGCACTCGGTCCTCCTTGTCTGACACATTTCGTTGTATTGTCACCCTTGCACAAAAACAGCAACAAAAGAAAAAAAACACGAAAAAACCCCCCAGTGAAAACAACAACAATAACAACAACAACAATGCGGCTATCTTCGGTTGGGACCTCAGAAAGGAAGGGTTTGTTTTCTTCTTCTTGATCAGTCCTGCCTAAGACGACCACCAGTCTTATACGGCCACTTTTCTCCTTGTCAATGGGTGGCCGTCTTACACAGGTTCGACTGTAGATACAAACCCCCCCCCCCCCCCTGTAAAACAACCAAACACCCCCTCCCCATAAGCTTGCTATTCCACAGTAATCAGTCACTTTTGCTGAAGACTTCTCTCTTTAATACACATTTTTACTTTGTTCTTTGAGTAAAAGATAGTTTTAACCACATTAAAGTTAGTTTTTATTGACATTTCAAAGCAAACATACATAATGCTCATCTGTGCCAAGTTTTTAGTATGGTCGGTAACTGATGCACTTTGAGTACAAGTCATTATTCACGTGCCACTGTATATGATTGGTGCACTCTAGCCCCATCTTCTATATATTGCCATTCCGCTGCCTGCTCTTCTGATATATTCTCTTATTCTTCCATTATCACTCTTCCCTTCTCCTTACCCTATGTGCACCCTTATTATCATCATCATAGCCTTTCTCACCCTGGATCAGGATATAGAGGTCATGAATATGAACAAACACTCTCCACCTTTCCCTATCCTGGGATAGTTGCTTGATGTCACTCCACGTCTTCCCACTTTTCTGTACATTCATTTCCGTGACTCTTCTCCAGGTTCCACGTGGTCTTCCCCTTGATCTTTTACCCTGCGGGATCCAATCTAACACTTTTCTTGTTATGCAGCTGCTTGACTTCCTGAAAGTGAGTCCAATCCATCGAATAAACGTCTTCTTCCCACCTCATCTCTGACTGGGCTGTCTCGTTCTTCTTAATCCTTCCTTGTTGGTGATCCTGGCTGTCCATTTGATCCTCAGTAGCTTCCTCAGACACTTGTTTAAGAAAACCTGGATCCTCTTTATGCACGTCTGGGATGCGTTCCACGTCTCACATCCATACAACAAGACTGACTTCACATTTGAGATTAAAATTCTAAGCTTTGTTCCAAATCCTGTTCAAAGAAATAAATGCAGTCTGTGCCTTTCCAATGCGGAACTTTATTTCAGTGCCTGTTCCTCCCTCTCTATCAATTATACTCCCAAGATAACAGAAGGATTTGACGTCTTCTAATGCATTTCCTTGTACTGTGACCTGCTCTTTTCATAGTGCATCTATCCTTAGGACTTTCGACTTTCCGGGGTGGATCCTCAATCCAACAGACTCTGATAGGCTGTTTAAAATTGATGTCTTCACTTGCAACTGTTCCTGAGTGTGTGACAGAAGCGCCAAGTCATCTACAAAGTCCAGATCGTCCAACTGTGTCCATGGGGTCCACTGTATACCGTTTCTGTGTCCTCTGGTGGTTTCCTTCATCAGCCAGTCAATTGCCAAGATAAAGAGGAAAGGTGATAGTAAACATCCCTGTCTCACACCGGTCTTGATGTCAAAGCTGTCAGTGAGCTGGCCATCATGTACAGCAACTTGTCCCTTCGTACATGCCCCCGATGAGGTTAACCAACTTCTGTGGGATTCCATGATGTCTCAGTATCTTCCACAGTGTTGCTAGGTCTATGCTGTAAAAGGCTTTCTCATAGTCAAGAAAGTTGACGATCAACTGGGAGTTCCACTCCAGGGACTGTTCCACTATGATCCTCAGTGTAGCAATCTGGTCTGTGGTTGACCGATTTTTCCGAAAACCAGCCTGTTCATCCCGAAGTCTTGGATCCGTTGCAGACTTGATTCTCTCCAGAATTATTCTGTTGAAGACCTTACCTGATATAGAGAAAATAGTGATTCCTCGGTAGTTGCTGCAGTTGCTGAGATCCCCCTTTTTAGGTAGTTTCACAAGGTGTTCTTCTTTCCAATCCTTTGGGAACTTGCTCTCATTCCAGATCCTGGTGAACAATGGGAGAAGGAGGTCTGACAAGATCTTTCGCTATCTATAGCCGGGTACCCATTCCCACCAGGGTGAATCGAGGAAAATTCGGGTAAAGTGCCTTTCCCAAGGACACAGTGTCGGGTCCCTGATGGGATTCGAACCCACGACCTTACGGTTGCGAGTCCGAGAGCCTAACCACTTACTCAAAATGATTCCAACTCCCTCCGCATAGTGCTTGTCTTCCCTCCCAGAATATAATATTTGTTCTCCCGAGCTGAGCTGTTTCTGTTCAGACTGTATCCAGTGGGTTTCGTTGACTCCTAGTATGTGCAGCCTGTATCTTTTCATCTCTTGTGTCACTTGAGAACTCTTTCCTGCTTCATACATGGTGCGAATATTCCACGAAGCAATCCAGAGAGACTTGTTCGACACAGAAGGTTTCGGGTCAGAAAAGTCCTTTCGGCTTTGTCCGCTGTCCTTCATTGCTCCTGCTGCTGCAGAAGCTCCTCCGTCTCCCAAGATGGAAAAATTATAAGGCATGTTTGTTTGTGTTTCTATAACTTTAATTTTTTAATGGGTCGGGTAGTTGGCCCTCCGCAAAGTGTCACTTTTCGGGAAGCCAGACCTATGCACCTTTAGTCGCCTCTTACAACATGCAGCATCACGGCAGGTGTATTCATTGCTCCCCCATAGTAAAACTATGGGGCTCCCCACCTGCAGGGGCGACCCTTACTATGTGTCTAGCTATAGTATAGGCATTGTGAATGCGACCCTTACTATGTGTCTAGCTATAGTATAGGCACTGTGAATGCGACCCTTACTATGTGTCTAGCTATAGTATAGGCACTGTGAATGCGACCCTTACTATGTGTCTAGCTATAGTATAGGCATTGTGAATGCGACCCTTACTATGTGTCTAGCTATAGTATAGGCACTGTGAATGCGACCCTTACTATGTGTCTAGCTATAGTATAGGCACTGTAAATGCCAGTCAGTGCTATTATCAGCTTGATACTATACGCCTCGTTTGACACTGTCAATTAAAATTAACTATAGAAAAAACAGACACCGCTTGCTTTCTTTCTTTTTCCAGTTTGGAAGCATGTAGGGTTACAAAGAGATAGCTTGCAAACATTGACTTTTTCTGTGCATCACAAGGTGTAAACCACTCCGCTCTCCCCTTTTTAAAACATTGTTTTTAAAAGAATCCATTAAAAAACAAACAGGAACAAAAATGCCCACCAGGTAAGAGCATTCCAGTTTTTTCCCTCAGGGCATTATATCTTTCATGCCAATCCAGGTGCTTCACATCACCATCACGTCCAATCGACTTGACCCACTGAGGGTTCAGGTTGACCACCTCTCCAGTTCCAGTTGTCCACTCCTTTCCCAAGCCACCAACATACAAGCGGTGGTCCTTCACAGTAGCCCATTCACATTTGAATCCTACAGAAAGACCAAAAGGGACAAGATAGATAAAAAAAAGAACATGATAAGAATAATTAGAAAAAGATCATAGGATGTTTCAACATCGATTCACAAGGCAAACTTTTAACCCCTTCCTTGCCTTTTGATGCTCCTGGTACATCAAGAAAAATGCCTTTATGCTGTACTGTGGACCTCACAAAAGTAGTCAAAATTTACTGATACACACACACACATATACATATATATTTTAACGGGGAACCCACAAGGAAAACGTACGAAGGGAAGACCAAAGATGACATGGAGGCGATCGGTACAAGCGGAAATTGAAAGAGCGGGGACATCATGGAAACAGATAGAAAAGGATGCTCAGGACAGGCTTCACTGGAGTAATGATGTTGATGGCCTGTGCTCCACTGGGAGTTAAAAAGGGCAAGAGAGAGAGATATAATATATTTGGCAACTTGGAAACACATGTGTCACTTTTCCCATAAAAACTACAACAGTTACAGAGTTGAAAGTTGGCAAATACCTGCAAAAAGATAGGTAGTTCCCCCTGACGGTGCCCGATTTTTTATTTATTCATTTGCTAAATTTAGAAAAATATATTTGACTAAAAGTTCCTGTCCTTCTTTGGCCTTTGTGATTATTCCACTGAGAAACGAAACCTGCCCTTCACAGCGGAAGTGCTGGAAGTGATATTTCGCGAGGCGCATTTTGTTTTTAGATTATAGGTCCAGACCTTGGAATTTTTTGCATCTCTCAAGATTTATTGCTCCATTCCTGTGCAGTGTAAATATAGTAGGCCAATGACTTTAAGTTGATGTTAATGCACCGATCATTCCTTTCTCCAAAAAGGGGCCCAACTAATATATATACGTCCTGCAAATCATCTGGCTCTTATTCTTTTGTAAGGTGATTTAGCCACAAGCACAGCCTGGATTTGTGTTTGGGAATAAAAAATGTGAATTCATCAGTACAAAATCTTCTAGCAATAGCTGACGCTTGCAAGCCATCAAACACAGGACTAGTCTTGCAGACAAACATGTGCTCTTGTAAAACGTAAACATCATCTAGAGTAGAGGAGGTAGTCTGTGCTACCCTAAGCATAAAAAGTGACCTTGTGAGTCCCCGGTGAGAGTGGAGGTAACCGCATAATAACTGATGAGAAGCAAATTTAGTCTGCTATCGCCGCCCCAGCGCGCTAAGCCTGAGGGCGGGCGCGTGCGACCAGAGCTGGTTGTAACGGAGTACAAGTACCGTTACGTTACAATTTTCGGTACTTTTACTGTACTCTGGTACATTTTGAGAATCAGTACTTTTACTGCACTCCGATACTTTTTATAAAAGTACTTAAAAAAAAAAAGTACATTTTGAGTACTTTTGAAGCTTAATGAAAGAATAAGTGCCGGCATTTCTGATCATAATTTACGGAACAAACACGCGAGCGGGCAGAGCTGATCAACCAAGAGTTAAAAGTTGAGATTTAAGAACTGCCCGTCGAGTCAAAGATCGGCCACTCTCATGAATGTGATCACAAGCGTTGTAAAACTCCATGAAACGGTACAATGATCCCCACCAGACGGGATCACACCGAGGTGTGACCTGACCGATGGGCGTTTCTTTTCCCCAAACATCGCACTCGCATCTGAGCTCGCCACCTGAACTTACTTCACTCGCTAGGTGGGTAGGGCCTACAAGTTTGCTCCAGGCAGGATCACATCGAACTGTGAACTCTTCCCTGACCATTGAAGTTGAAGGCAGTTTTTCTCTATTCCCGAATTTTGCGAGACAGCCTGAATTTTAATTGGTGTGGTCACAGCGTAATGGTATGTAACGACAAAGGAAGGGAGGACTCAATCAGAGATGGAAGGCTACAATTTTTGGACAGGTAAAGGGGGGGGGGGGGGGGGGGGCAACTGGATAAACGTAGATTTAAAGATCTCGAGACGATATGCCTATGAGTGTACGGTATAATAATATTATGGCATGCCTCATGCCACCATGCTACTATGATTGGTCATCAAGGTTGACCACTCTTTACTCGCCATATGTGACATGTCATAAACCTACCCAGGGGTCACGTCAGTTCATGGGTCACTGTAGATTCTTCCTTGATTTCGTCGGCTAAGATCCCGTATTTCCCTTGCTCCCGAGCACTGGGATCTTAGGCGGAGACTACTGTAGTAGAGAATTTTTGGTTACACTTACTAGACTCTAGGAAATTACATATAGGCCTATTTTGGTTTGCCGTTGTATAATTTGTTTAAAATGTCGATAACACAAATGTATCTTTCGTTCTCCCGGAACCCTGGTTGACTAAATCAGAGATTCTTTTTTTTACATACAAACACAGTATTTATTACACGGATAGCTCGATATTTTAGTTCGATATTTGTCTTCTTACAAAGATAAAGAAAGAAAGAAGAAAAAAAAAAATGGGACCGCAGGCACAGGTTGACGGATGCGTGATTTTGAGTATTCTGTGTTAGATCTATCCATGTTATACTGTATTTGATGTGAAGAAAGTTCTAAAATCTATGTATGCATGGACTTTGAAGACCACAACAGATTCGGACTCCAACAAAACGAAATGAGTTGTTATAACAATGTTATGTGGTAGCCGTAAGTTGTTTTTTTGTAAACACACAAATATGTCTCCATCATCTTACTCAGTTCAAGCAAATATCAATGACGTAAAAGATCAAATAACAGCTACAATCAACATAGTGGAGTGAGATGTGCCCACCACCCACATTAATTAACTTTAAGCACACAATTGTAAAACTTGAAATAAAAATTTGAACGTACGTACAACACATGTGTCCAAGCTGGATTTCTACTGTTTTTTCTTTTTGAAATATTGGGAGATGATTTTTACGCATTGTTATTTTTGTAGTTCCGTTTGTTAAAGTACACGATCCATTTGTTTACATCCTGAGAAGAAATCTGGAAGTCTTGATGACCAAATGGGCAACACAAAGAGCAGCTGCAAAATATCAAATTATGGTAAATTTCAGGCCAACGTCCACCTCCATATTTTTATTAACTGCCGAAAAAGGGCCATTCTTTGCTAGGATTTTGATTTTCTGGCTTTATTGTTTCCTTCTAGTCTCACACTTAGTTCACTCCTCAATGATTACCTGGCAATTCAGGGCCTCTGGCATTCAGCTTTGGACTTTAATGAACAAAACTACAAAATCACCAAAATAATTTGGAAGAGGCTAGCCGTACTTAAGTACGGCTAGACTCGCAGTCTAGCCGTACTTATTCTTAATATGATGGCTAGACTGACCATTTACAAAAAATAGGCCTACTGAATTGTAAATAATATACATTTTTAGTGTGCAGTACCTAACGTATTTGTATTTGAGACGAAACCAGGTGCCTTAATGACAGTGCATGTATTTTAAACCTCCTGTTTTCTAATGTTAATAGGGCCTAAGATAAGTACGGCTAGACTGGCAGTCTAGCCGTATTTAAGTATGGGTAGACAGCCAGGCTAGCCGTACTTAAGGACGGCTAGACTGTCAGGCTAGCCGTACTTAATATTGATGGCTGAATTGTAAATGAAATTTTTAGTTTGCAATGCATAAAGTATTTGTATTTCAGACAAAACCAAAAGGTGCCTTACTGACTTGCATGTATTTGAACCTGAATAATTACTAGATCTATAGCCTATGTACGGCATACCGTCACGTACGTCATACCGTCACTTGGCAAGCATTTGGCCTAAAATTGGACAACCAGACAATTATACGATAATCTGGAATGCCGTCTGCTAAACAATTCCGTTCAACATTGTTTTGTTTTCAAGTTCAACAATTTTGAGCAGAATCAGACACGTGTGAGCAGAAATAATCCATTTCATCTCCAAAGGTAAGAACCACGTTCAGCCATTACGGCTTGCAGATGCGCAATACATCTTGGGAAATAAGCTATTGGTTCTATAATAGTACCCGCAGGATTCGTTTCGCATTGTTATTCAGTTTATAAGGGTCTAGTTACCGCCACAAACCCATTCGCTGCTCTTTGTTGTAACAATTGGGGCCCGTAGGGGGGGTGACGATATGGGGTACAATTTTTTTATGGATATACCCCATACCGTCACCGTATTTTTACATTGTTGTGCGTGACTTGAAAAATAGTTATTTCTTGGGGAGTGCTTATTTAGGCCACATATGGCCTAAATAAGGTAAGGGAGGGGGGTTTAGCTTATTTAGGCCACAGGTGGCCTAAATAAGGTAAGGGAGGGGGGTTTAGTTTATTTAGGCCTAAATAAGGTCACCCTATTTCTTGACGGACTATGGATGGCATCTTAGTACTCTAGATTTTTTAGTTTCTACGATTTGATATAGATCTAGATAGATCTATTTAGACACGGATTCATTAGAAAATGAGCGAGTTTAGATTTTTCTTTTTTAATGTTTGAAACAAATTTGTATGAAGGAAACTCTATCCCGTTGTATGTAATGATGATGATGATGTTCCTCTGTCCAATGTATACACATGTTGTGATGATGTTCTTCCAGCCACTGTTTCCACATGTTGTGATATTGTTCCTGCTCCTACTGCTTCTGATTCAGAAGAAAAACTTGCTGGCCCTCCCCCAACTGCCCTTGTCTCTAGTTGTGAGTGGTCAGTTGATGCCCTAGACTTTTCGACCACAGGTCTGGAATTCTCGGGGATCGAATGTACCTCTGAGGACTTCCTGGATCCTGCAGCAGAGTTTCAGCTACCTTTGGTTTCGACCCCAGCTCGGGATCCTGTGGATAACCAGGACTATGTCTATTGTCTACCTGAGCAGGCATTGAGACCATTGGAAGATGAAACTCTGGTGACACTCCAAGCCCCCCAAAAACTGCTTCAGGACAACACTTTAGCTTTGTCCGTGACAGTCTAATTGATCATGCCATTGCCACTGGATGGATGGCATCAGACATGCATTGGGTCCGCCGTTGCCACTGGCACAAAATCGAACCTAAGGAGAACGAGGGGGCATACAGAAAATACTTTGTTTGTAAAATCAACTCATTCCTGCCCCCTCGTTCGTCAACCTGCCCATACCAGCAAGCTGGAACTATCTAAGGTTTCAACACAGAGAAGCGGGCTAAGGCCCCTACATACATGTCTTACGGGCAAAGTACAAAGCATGGGAGGAGGCGAAGAAATTGGAAGAAGAAAAGAAAAAGGAAGAAGTGGAAAAGAGGAAGAGAGAAAGGGAGAGAAAAGGGTGGAGAAGGAAGAAGAGAAAAGAGGAGAAAAGTTAACGAAGTTGGAGAAGCAGAGAGCAGGGAAGCAGAAGAAGAAACAACAGGGAAATTCATGTAGGCCTATGTATGCGAGTAAGATGTTCATGTGAGTTTGTTGTGATACATGCGGAAGAGTAAAATGAAGCATTCAAGTACTTGTGTGTGAGTAAAAGATGTTAATAATAATAATAATAATAAATGACATTTATATAGCGCTCAACCCCTAATAAAGTACACAGGCTCTGAGCGCTTTACAATACAGTACAACATACAACAGTAACATGAAACATTGTGTTCTGACTAAAGAAAATTATTCCAAATATTCATCTTATTAATTTAAAAACAGAAACGACTTCAGCTGACATTTGAATGAATCAAAAGATTTGATTTCTCTCAACGTACTTGGTAAAGCATTCCAGATCTTAGGGCCTTGGTATTCAAATGCCCTTTCACCCATTGTTTTAAGTTTCATAGATGGTAAAATAAATTTCTTTTTGTCAGCTGATGACCTTAAACTGCGAGTTGGAATGTACAGTCTTATAAGATTTGATAAATATGATGGTGCATTATCATTCAAACATTTGTGACATATGGTGGCCAACTTGTACACAATCCTTTTCTCAACAGGAAGCCAATGCAACGTGCTGCATTGTTTTGGACAGTTTGAAGTCTTTTAACTTTCTCCAGTGATATTCCTGATAACAAGGAGTTACAATAACCGAGTTTAGATAAAATTAAGCTAGTTACTAGTAAAGCAGTATACTTGGTATTGATCAGATGACGCATTTTACTAATTTTTCTTATTTCTAAATACATGCAGCTGATCAGATGATTTACCTCAGCCGACATTGACAAACTAGAATCAAAATAGATGCCAAGATTCTTAACTTTTCTTGAAAATAAAATTTTTGCATTACCAATTTTAAAGTGATCATGGTCAACCTCTTTAACAGACATTGAATTGCCTGCCAGAATGACTTCTGTTTTATTATCATTTAACATCTATTTATTTTTGTTCATCCAGTTATTCACAAAGGCAATACAATTTTCAGCACGATGGACAAGTTCATCTAAGTTGGTAAACAATGTTGAACCATAACTTTGGGTATCATCAGCATAGAAATGGTATTTTAAGTCATATTTAATTATTTCCTTGACAAGTGGTTGAGTATAAATGGTGAACAAAACTGGACCGAGGACTGAGCCCTGGGGGACCCCATACTTAAGAGCATGATCTGATGACTTTTAAGCCCTTTAATAAAAACAGATTGGTAACGATTTGACAGGTAAGAAGAAAACCAGCTAAGGGCAGTCCCGGATAATCCAAAAGACACTTCCAATCGCTTCATAAAATGTGATGGTCAATTGTATCAAAAGCTGCTGATAGATCTAAAAGACTCAGCAAAACAACTTTTCCTGAATCACAATCAGGAAGCATGTCATTCATGACTTCAAGAAGTGCTGTTTCTGTGCTGTGGTTAGCTCGATAGGCAGACTGGAATGGCTCTAACAGATTGTTTTTTTGTAAGTGATGACGAAGCTGCTCGAGGACAACCTTTTCAAGGATTTTAGACAAAAAAGGTAGATTTGAAACAGGTCTATAGTTCTTTAAAACATTCTGATCTAAGTTTTGCTTCTTTAGCAAAGGTTTTACAAGAGCGATTTTAAACGAATCTGGTTCAAGTGAGTTTGTTGTGATATATGTGGGGAAGAGTAAAATGAAGCATTCATGTACCTGTGTGTGAGGAAGATGTTCATATGAGTTTGTGATATGTGAGGAAGAGTAAAATGAAGCATTCAAGTACTTGTGTGTGAGTAAAAGATTAAGATGTTCAAGTGAGTTTGTTTTGATATGTGAGGAAGAGTAAAATGAAGCATTCATGTACCTGTGTGTGAGGAAGATGTTCATATATGAGTTTGTGATATGTGTGGAAGAGAAAAATGAAACATTCATGTACCTATGTGTGAGTAAGATGTATGTGAGTATGTTCTGGTGGTTGTTCTTTTTAGTATGTCAATAAACATTAGTTCTGTCTTAGGCCCACTGTACAAAAGGAGTTCGTCTTTGCTTCTTTCCTCTTTTCAAACGCCTAGTTGTGCTTCAATTTGGGGGTGCTGGTATGGGGTGTAGTGGGTGACGGTATGAGGTACATGCCATGACAGAAACCCCGACACGTGACGGTATGGGGTACATGTCATGGCATGCGTCAAGTCTAGGTTAAGGGTCTTCTTTTTATACATTATCTGACTAAAGACTTCACCCCACACCTACAGGAAAGGCTGGCCTCTCAACGAAACAAAATTTTGGGTCGATGTTTTGGAAAGAGCCGAAGTTATGGTAATACAAAAGTTCACTTCCGGAAATAGTCATCACAAAACACTAAGGTGACGGTATGCCGTACATAGGCTCTAGATCTAATGAGACCTGTGTACTTAACAGGCTTGAGTCGATTGGGCCAAACCTAGATATCTAAGTACGGCTAGACTGGCAGTCTAGCCGTACTTAACCCTTTCACCCTCAGAGCTATCCCTGCCCAACAAGGCTGAAATTCTGGCAAAAGGGACCTAACTCGGCTTAGACTGCATGACTATATTATTTTTAAAAATCATTAAAAATCAGAGGATGAGTCTAAAATTACAGTTTAGGTGTCAGAGCACAGATAAATGAATAAACTACAAGAAAATGTATGGTTGTGTACGAAAAATCATTGTGTATTAGGTAAAAAAAAATTCTGAAGTGAAAAAAACCCCCCAAAAGACACAACCCGCTTTTTTTGCCCGCAGAAGTTCATGATGTTTTACCCAGAACAGCCTTTTGCAAGGTCTAACCTGGCCCAAATTGCATCCTGTCACTGTCTCACTCCCTCTGCCTAGCTTTGTAAAGTTTCTGGTCTTTACACAGTAGTGGCACGACCCCTTTTTACCATGTATCCTGATCACAACATGCTCTAAAGGATTTGTTGTGACAGAGCCCACAGTCCCAGTGTTGCTCCTCCCTTTTTTACGTCGTAGTGCAGCAAGTATGTAGTACTAGATCTAGAATCTAGATTTAGCTAAAGTGCTGTGGGTGCTAGGCCTATCTTCTTCATCAGTCTTCTAAATCATCACCTCCAGCAACGATCTCGCCATCAACATCACTATCATAGTTGTTCCCCTCCCCCTAGAGCCTAGATCTAGACCTGCGACATCGTGTTCGCTCTCCTACTAGATTAGATATCTATAGTTCTCGCTCTCTCTCTCTTTCACGACTGAGTGTCCGAGTGACTACTTGTACTACAAGCACTAGATCTAGCCCCTTGGTCGACGATATCGGCATTTAAATCCCAATTATAAGTGTCTCCATCGTATACAGTGCCTGTAGCGACGCAAAATTTCATCCACGACACAAAGTTAGATTTAGGTCTCTAAAAAGCACGAAATTAAAAAAATCGCCGCTCTCGCGTGCTTCGATCGATTTTCACCAAATAAACACGACAGTAAAGGGCAACCACTCTAGATTCTCGCTATAAAAGCTCGGCAATCTCGTGCGACCTCGCAGGAAGCGAGACAACGTAGAAACGAAAGTAGTGCAAACGGGTGAATCGAGTGGGCGTGTCGGCGCACATCGGCGACTACGGGGGTTAGCGATGACGGCGCACATCGGCGCCTCCGAGTGGCAAAAGGTTAAGTACGGCTAGCCACTTCGAAATAATTTACACTGATTTTCAACTTTAAAGCAACATACCTTTGTTTGCCTTTCCATTTCCATCAGCCAAAATAACCCATGGGATTACTTGCTGGCCTGAAACTTCATAAACAATTCCAGTGCGGTCATCAACAGTGTAGAGTTTTCCATTGAAGACCACTAGTTCTGACAGCTCCATACCTCGGTCCCCCGATGCGATGTTGGAGAAAAGAACTTTCGGAGAACCAAGCTTTACATTTACATATGTGCGACTCTCCGACAGTGTCAAATTTCCTTTTCTATAATAACTCAACCATGTACTTTTCTTTTCTTTACTTTTGGAGTTGGTGTCAAGGTCTGTGATAAGACCGATTGTGTAAACGATACTGCCTGCTATTCTTTGTGGATTTGTTAGTGGATATGTGGGATCATAATTTGATAATTGTTGCTCCGCATCGCACTTCACAATAGGGGTCGTTTTTGGCATAAACATAAACAAGAGCACTAACACAGACACTGACAGCAAAACTGCATATAAAACAACTTTGGGCTTTAGGTGAAACCGTGCGTTACCCACACGATAAGAGGTTGGGCGACGAATTGCTTTTGTCCACTCATGAACAGTGGATGGGTAAGGAGAGGAAGACAGCATATTTACGTCTTCGTCTTCGACCGGTAGACTCATGTGTACACTGAATAATGATGGATAAGCATAATGAACTCTGGAGGCCAGCATGAAACGACGGACGGTCAGCACCGTATCCTCCTTTGCACAGACATCGAGCTACCTCTAGAAGTCGCCATGACAGTATACACCAAAAGCCATAACGCAGCAACAACTGTTTACGTATCATCTTTTGTGTTTTTGTCTAGAACCTGCTAAAGAAATAAATGATGTGTGTACAAGAAATAACACTACTTTTATAACAATATTCATACTGTTGACTTAATATTTCGCAAAAATTCCAATTAACCTTAGCCCAAATCACAGAATTCTGTGGCCCAAATGCTGCTCGTTTAAAATGAAAGTAAACGAAGTCTCTGTCTGCGGCCCTGTTGTCTCAGAACTCATTTTTATTGAAAGTTGAAAGTATTATTTTTTGGTAGCCTACCGTTCGCCGTGCAGGTGCAGTGTTCGAGTTGTCTGTGCAAGAAGGTTGTTCTAAGACTAATCATAGATGTACACTATTAATTATTAAAAGGAGATAACTCTATGGTTATAATTGATCTAAATCTAGAATCTAGATTAGCGATAGCCTAATTTGTTGTAAAAGTGTTGTTTTTTCTGCCATACTTCTAGCCTTATTTCATACAGATCTAAGATGTAGATATATATATCTCTAGATTCTAGATCTAGATCTATATTCTAGATCTAGATTCTAGATCTAGATCTAGATCTAGATCTGGAAGGCTGGAAGGACTTCCGTAACGAGCTACCACCTCATCAAACACAATAAAGAAGAGGCCTACCCTAACCCTAACCCTAACCCAAACCCTAACAACCTTAACCCAAACCCAAACCCTACCCCAACCCCTACCCCTAGATCTACCCCTACCCCTAGCCCTCAATTCTGAACTGTCTCATGACATAGTGGTGGCTCCTTACTGACCTTACTTATGGAAGTCCTCCCCTAGATCTAGATATCTAGATTCTAGACTGACACCACAAAAACAACGATTTTCGGAAAACCGGCGTTTCAGGAAAGGTTCGGGAACGATGATGGCAGTTCGGGAATTTCCTTAAAAAATCAGGAAGGTTGACAAGCCTGCTAGTTCATTGTGATATAAATAGATCTAGATCTAGATCTAGATCTGATCTACATTCATTGGACTCTCTCACGCAGACCACTATCCATCTTCTAGGTCTAGATTCTATTCTAAGCCTTTCAACCACTGCAAACAACACCACCACCACCTTATATTAGTCTCTTCCTTCATTCCTTCATGCAAATAAATTTAAAAAACAACACTTGAAACTTGAAACAACATCATCACTAGATCTAGATCTAAATCTAGTGTCGCTTCTGCAACAGAGCGATTCTTCCAATGTATTTCCCGTCATCAACAGGTTTACTTTCAAAGACAAAAGCTTCCATTCAAAACTTATGACACGCCTTTTCGGCTCAACAAAGAAAAGGAAGTCCAAAGGGGAAATAGTGCCGACCATTAGAAATTGCCAGATTCATGAAGGAAAGTCAATCCAGCCACTTGGGCCACGAGAATGGCTCATCACGCTAAGGGGGTTAAAATATAAACACAACTTTTCCGTTATGATTATTCGGTAGGGCCTGTCTTATTATTGCCTCTTTTTAGATCTAGGTCTATTATAATGTTACTATTATTATTATTAAAATACTATTATTATTATTATTTAAATATTATTATTATTATTAATAGAATTGAGTGTACAAGTACAAGAAAGACTCTCAGAAAGATCTTGTAATCCAGGGATTTTAAACAAATTTGTCAACACAATCTTGTGTCTTGTGTGTCATCACAGTGCCGTGTACAACAGTGACAGGTGTAGAGCAGTCGTCTGTCAGTAGAAAGAGCCAGGCAAGTGCAGCATTTGTTATTGGGATTTTTTGGCTCAAAACCCTGCAGTAACAGGCCAAACTCAGAATCAAGATGGGAAAAGATGCTGCCCGATATATCCACAAGGAAATTTATCAACGTGTGAATTTTTTGCATCAGGTGAGAAAAATTATGGATGTTTCTGTTGGCTAGTACTTGTGCTCTTAAAAGTTTATTTGGTAAATTTTTACCTTTGGATCCACTTTCAGGTGTACTGTTTTAGGGTCGGTTGAACGGTCGGCAACAGTTGATAGTTGGCAACGGTCGATAGTTGGCAACGGTCGGCGGCAGTTGGCAACAGTTTGCATAAAGTATGACTTTATGACATTTCCATCTAAATTTTTATTATTTAAAATATAAGCAGCGGGCAGAAAAAAATAAAAGAGGGCGAACTTGGAAAACAAGGTTCAAACTTGGCAGACCAAGTTCTGCAGGTTGCTTATATGGTTAAAACTCATGGAGATTTTGTAAGAAACAAACTTTCGAGTCATCAGTAAATGAATGTCTTCCTCCATCATGTTGTTTTTGGATGGGCAGTTGGCTGACATACAGGAACTTTGCTCTGGGTCGAGAGTTGTCTTGGGCATTGATATGAATGCAATCTTGGAGAGCTGCTGGTGAAGGCGATGATTTTTTTAATAAGCACACAGGACTCCTTTGTAGAAATTGCAATGAGTCACCTATCATGATCGGCCTGATCTTTTTGCATGCTCATTCGACTTTCGAAACGTTGTATCATTTTATTTCCACCATAGTGGCAACGATTGGACATTTCCCAACAACACCCATGGTGTTTGGATCTGACGATGAAAAGTCAATCATAAGAGCAATTCAGTGTGCTTTTCCAAACCCCAGCCTGGCATTGTGCACACTCCATCTTAAGAAAAACTTTGCCAGACTTTTGAAGGATAAAGTTGGCGTTGCTTCCGGACAGAGGAACGTACTGATAAATCCACTCTTTGGAGATGACGGGTTTTCAAACTCATCAGAAAAGGTCACGTTTGATGTGAAAATGGTTAAACCTGATAACAATGTGGCCGGAAAAAGACACGCCCTATCTCAAGAGGACAGCGCAACAAATATTGGAACATGTGCTAAAGCTGAATTGGAATGGCCAGCTAGAAGACTCGCAGTGGACCAACAACAATACATAGTCTCTCAACCATATGCTGAAGAATATGGTTGAATGGAAACCGAGAGAGCTCCCTGACCTTATAAATAGGCTGAGAACAATGACCAAGGCTCAACAAGTGGACGTAGTAAGTGCCATCATTGGCCGCGGCGAGTTTCAACTGGCTTCACATACCGCGAACAAGCAACTACACTACAAGGAAACGTTTGGGTAGCCTTGACAGAAAAACAGAAAAACAAACACATTGCCAAGCTAAGACAAGCTGTCAGGACCCCTGGTTGGGTACAGAGCAGTTCATTGGGCTTCCATGTCACTGGAACACCTACAAAAGGAAAGGGGAGGTTGACGTTTCGCTGCAATTACGTCACAGCGTGTACCTGTGGAAAATAAGAATGGTCATTTCGCCGCAGATTGAATTCATTTACAGCTAGATTCAGTTTAGTGCGTTGTGAGTAGTAGTAGTAGCAGCAGTAGTAGTAGTAGTAGTGGAAGTAGGACTTTGAGCAGAATGGTTTTTTTTATAATTACATTGCAGAGAAGATGAATATGTAATGTCTCAGGTACAAAATCATTGTAAAAACCCAAAGTTGTTTTAAAAAAAGCTTGAAGCTCATGTACTACATGTATTTCTCAATGTTGATTTGCTCTGTATTGCTCCAATAGGGGCTGTTTGTTTGCAATTTATAGCTTTCAGTTTTATCTTTGTTAGTTGTTGGTGGTCGTTGAGTTTTCTTGGGAACAAGAATGTTTTGGAAGTAGGACTTTGAGCAGGATGGGTTTATATAATTACATGACAGTGAGGATAAAAATCTGATGTCTCAGCTACTGAGTCGTTGTGAAATCCCAAATTTGTTTTTAATAAGCGTCACAGCGGACAGTGTCTACAGTGAAGATAAAACGGTGATGCCTTTGATTAATCTTTGTAAAACTCCAAAGTTGTTAAAAAAGCCTGTAGCTCATGTACTTGACGTATTTTTCGATGTTAATTTGGTTAATTTCTTTCTTTTTGTAATTTTCGCTGGTCTGATAGGGGCTGTTTGTTTGCAATTTATTGCGTTCAGTTTTAACTTTGTTAGTTGCTGGTGGTCATTGAGTTTTCTTAGGAACAAGAATATGTTTGGTGACGGAGTGTTACCAATGGTCCACAGTATACTTAAAAAATGTAGTCCACAAAATCTTCAACTTTTTGGTCTTTCTGCGCATTTGCCATAGCGTGGAAGGCAAAATAATCTTCTATTTATTCTTTTGGGGAAAGAAAACACATTCCAAAAACGACTGTAAGCCACTGGCTGATTTCTGACTGTTTGTCTTTGTATGATTTTTTTAGACCTGCTTCATTTATTTTTCTTAGCCAGCTGTGCCTCAGGTGGAAAACGCATGCTTTGACTTGTATTGTGGGGAATATGTCTCTAAAAGCTTGATGTGTCGCCAACTCAAAGTCAAGGTGGATCGAACTTGGATTGAACTCCTCATCATGCTTCTTGCGTTCCCTTGTGATAATTTGTAGCATAACATGTGTATTTATGTAGACCTCTCTTGACTCTGTTGGAAGAAGGCAGTAGAACAATGGCACATAATGTACTAGACACTCTGTGTGGAGGGTGTAAACTTGGTAATAGAATGCAGGGCTGTATTTGAAGGTACCGTCGCCAAAGAACTCATTTCTGTTGTCAATAATGTTCATGTTTTTGACAAACGTAATGAGCACGATTTCATTTTGCACGGCTGCAATCATCCCATCCGGTTTTTGAAATGTCCCGTCCTCCAGTTTTTGTACAAGTTCAACTTTGGTCGTTGGTAATGTTTCTTGTAGTTTCCGTGGTTGTCAATAAATGGCCTGCCAAATATTCTGGTACTCTCCAGTCTCCAGGCAAACATTTAGTGTCTCCGACTTCATTTATAAAAACCTTTCATGGGCATTAATCGGGTTCACACAGCGCCTGTTTTTTTTGCAGTGTTCTTGGACTTCTTTGACTTTGACTTTCCTTTCATTGCCTTCTATATTGTGGTTATGCCCAGCGGAAACATCACAAGACAGTCACTGTAGTGGAACCCACAATGAGCATGAGGCAGGGGTAGGCCACGGGAAACTTGGAGGAGATGCATGGACAGGGACATGAGAGAAATGAAGCTCACTTGGAATGAGCTTGGAAGGATGACTAAGGACAGAGATAAATGGAAGGAGCTTGTATGTGGCCTATTCCCAGCCAGGGGTGAAAGGCATTGATGATGATATCGTTGACGAGGACAATTTATCATGTTGTTGTAAAATGGCATCTTTGCTGGCCATCCATGCCCCTGGCGCACGCACACACACACACACACACACACACACACACACACACACACACACACACACACACACACACACATATATAATATAAGGCTTTAGAATTTCTTCACACGTGTTCACTGCCCACCCTTGTACACATGCTCAATATTACTTCTTGAGTGTCAGATAATTAGATAAAATAAGCCGCATCTCTGATAGACCCATCACATTATAATGGTGAGCAGCGCTATAACATTGCTATTCATGTCTCACAGAGATAGATCAGCTGGGGCTGCTTGTAAAACAAGCTTTCGGTTCCAAGGTTATATGTTTACAAGTTCAGTTGACGTTTGGGTGTTTTAATGGCTTTAATTGTTTTATGAAGTGTCGATGAGTCTGATTTCTGAGACTGCAAGGTACATTGCATGTACCATTTAAGAGATTACGTAGCCTATTATTCTGAAATCGACTTCCATCATGTCCTTGTCTTTTTTTTGTTTGGGACCTCAATCATCCAAGAGCCCCAGCTTTGAGATGCATCGAGACAGGTGCCTTTTGAGGGATAAAATATTGTTTGCTTGCAGTTGCTTTCACTATGTTCTTGTCGTAGTAATGCCTCACTTGCAGCTCTTTTTGACGACTTTGTGACTTATCCATTTAGTCAGAGCATGTCACTCATCCAAAGTTACGCTGTGCATGTATCCTTGGCAACGTAGTCAGAGTGTGTGTAGATGTGGGCAATAAAGCTATCATGTCTTTGATGCATGTCTGAAACATCCACAGCCTATATAGTTCTATCTTTTACTACTGCTGGAAAGTTTGGAAGTTCAAGGTGATCTAATTGCAGAGTAACAATACTATTCTACTTACAGTATTGATAAAGTGTATGTCTTTGAATTTTACCTCTAGAATTCATTGAAATCAATAAATTTATGTTTCACCTAGGCTGCAAAACTGGTACTCAAGCAAGATCCAAGCAACTATGGCCTTTGCAGATATTACATCTCGACTATGCGAACTGTGGCGGAGAAACATGTCATTAGAATGTGAGTTACTTCTTTTTGCTGTTTGGGTGTTTCCAAGTGTTGTTTGCAAGACAAATTGTATCATAAGATTAGGGAGGCTGGAAAGGAGATATTGTTTTATTCTTCATGCTCTGTTTGAAGGTTTAAGCTTTGAAATAGCTGTTCAGTACAGACAGGGGTTTGAGGATAGTATGACTCGATCAAAGTCCAAGTGAAATGATTGTGAAAACTTGACTGAAGGTTTTTTTAATTTGTTAGCAGCCCCACTTTTTTTCAGGTGGCCAGTGGGCTGTTTGACATGTTTGTATCAACTGCATTTCATGATGTAACATGGTAAAAAATAGTTTCAAGTCTCAAGCTCAGAAATGACCTGACATATAGCATACTACTTCTGTTATGTGTTTTTCTTACTTGAATTGATGTTGAGGCCTTTCATGAGTCCTTGCTAAGATTTTTTATATTATTGAAATGTTTCGTTTGTTTTAAGATAACTTCTCACTTGTGAAATATAATAGTCTAGCTTAGACCTCAAACTTACAACTTAATATAAGCAGTTTTGTTTTAGTTTCACTGGTTGTCAATGGATTAATCAGTTCTCTTCTTTATTTTTATGTTTCAGTCATCCTGCCATAAAAAGGACCTACTGCAAACATTGCAATGTGATTCTTCTGTCAGGACAAACATGCAGAATAAGGTCAAGAAGTAAGTAGCCTACAGAATTTTTTGTTAACAACGTAAATATTTTGAAAATGATACATTGTTTTCACAAACTTTTGGACTGAGGTAGGGTGAAAAGACACGATGATTGCATTTCACCTTTGGATAGGATTATGTCGTTTCTCGAAAAGGATGATTTTTTTGTTCCTGTTGGAAAATTTGAGTTGCCATAGCCAAGTTTTTCACTAACTTTATTTTATCCCCCATGAGTCGTGTATGGATGTTAGATGTTCCATGATCCTTGTGAATCAAGTTCGTTGTGTAACATTGTACTGCTATGATAACATCAGCTGATCAAGTGTATTAATTTTGAAACTTAAAGATGAGAGCATGAATTGTGTCACCTATTGATGACCCTGGTACATGGTGAAATGGATGCACCTGTATTCTGTCCGCAAGGCATTTGTTTCTTGGAGAGTTGTCTTAGATAAAGTAAAACGATCCAAAAGTACACATTTTGTAGAATTAAATAACTTCAAATTTTTCAATATTTTCCAGTTCTATATTCATTTATGGTTATTTTGATGTATCATTTGACTTGGTGCAAACATATCTTTTGAGTTACACCGAAGATTGTTATAATTAATTCTTTATTTTCAAAGTTTATCTGCATTCGAGCAAAATTGTGTTGCATAATCGCCTCTTACAGGAACCAAAGTTGAAAAATACACAAACAAACATTACAGATGTATTCTACAAACCATACTGAAAATTTTGGTACAATGGAGTCCACTTATAACGAGTCCGGAAAAAACGAGAAGTCTGTTATAAAGGCACTATTCTAAAGCCCTGTTTTTTTCTCCTCTTTACCTTTGTAAACAAAATACTGCTATAGCGCTATCAGACAAACTTGCAAGTCTGTTGTAGTGGAATATTGCTGCTGCTGTGCATATGGCATAGGCCAATTATACATAATGCAAGACCTCGCCAGTTGAGAAACTTGTTGCTGATCTTGCGAAACAAAGAATAGGAGAGCCCATGTGCGTCAACAATGAAGGCCGGAGCAACTGAGTAGGAAGGGTGTGGCATGCGAAGACAGGCAGAATGCATCGCGTGATAGGCCAGTTTAGATTATCAAGGCCTGCCATGCCTCTCACTTCTCCGATGCGGGGATGGAGAGGTCACAGCAATGTGATGGATGGAGCGAATGTGTGAAGTGCGCAAGCAGACAGAATGCACCACATGGTGGGATGGGGTGGGGGGAAAACACAGCGGGCGAGTTAGCCCAGAGCCCTTTCTTTCTGATCGCCAACGCCGAGATGTCAGTCCACATCGCTAGATCTAGCGCTAGAGAAACAAACCTGATTTGATTTTTGATCAAGACCTAGAGGTCATGTTGAAACAAAATCGTCATCAGGGGAGATAGCAAAAGGAAAAACAGAACACCAAAATCATAGATTAGGCCTACTTTACAGTTTCCCTTGAATTTATTACTGGATCCCTTATTATAGTGAGAATCCTGCTATAACGGACATTTTGCTCCCTCCCTCTCGTTATATCAGGATTCCACTGTATATAATATGTTGATATTTATTTGAATATGTGGCCCCAAAGACCTTTGAACTGCGCACTAGTCACCGTCTCATTTCGCCCTGCCGAAAAAACTTTGTTCACAAGCTGAAAATAATACGTAGCGAATGAGTTAAAGGCACAAAAAATGTAAGTTTTCAGTTTCCTCCGACTATCAAGCTATGGAAATAACCAATCTTTGGCGGCTATTTTCTAGCTAATTCTACCTTTGAAACGAGGCGACCTCACCTTTAATCTCTAATATCTCGACTTCTGTTCAAGTTAGATGGGAATTTTTTTCACCGACAGCAAGACAAATGAACAAGCTTTAAAATGATACCAGTAACTCTACATGTCCAGAAATTGACGAGCGCCTGATTCCACCACGTATTGACACATATGTGAGGCAGCGTGGTGGAATGAGGCTCTCGTCAAAATAATCAAAGTGAAGAAACTTGCATTTTTCCGCAATTTTTTTGTGAATTTTTATCAAATTTTTGTTTTTTGGCACAACACCTTTCATGCCCTTTAAAGAACTCATTTCTGTGTGGATTTTTCCGAAAAGCGTTGATTAAAGGCATAAAAAATGTAAATCTTCAGTTACCACGGACTCTTAATCTTAAGCTAAGGAAATAACTAATCTTTGGCGGTCATTTTCTCACTAATTTTACCTCTGAAAACAGGTGACCCTCACCTCCTTCTTTTGCAAATATATCGACTTGTATTCAAGATAAATGGATATTTTTTGCATCCAAATGAAGACAAGTGAACAAGCTTTAAGATGATACCAATAACTTTACATGCCTAAAAATTGACGAGAGCCTGATTCCACCACGCTGCCTCACATATAATATAATATATGTGTACATTCTTTATAGTTCTTAACTATCTGTTTTGCATCTTCCAGGTACCTCAGAGCCACACACAGTGGTGACCTGTCTCTTATGTGGCACTATAAAGAGGTTCATGTGGCGCGCCAGCTATCAACTCTGGCTGGACAAACCTGAAGCTTGGCTGGCAGAGAAGGGCAAGGCACAGACCTGATCTGATGACATGTTGCCTTCACATCTAAATGTACGCAGCATTTATATATAGCCATACTTCCTTCCAGAATTGGAATGAAATTTGCTGAAAAGGAAACCCTACTACTAGTTTCAGCAGCTTTGATGTTGAGATTGGGTTCATGTGGTTTGCAGAGGAAATTAGAACCGATAAGAAGAGCAATTTACACATCCTAGAATGACATAAATTGTCCTTTCCCCTCATTGTCAGCGTCTAACTTGACACTGTGCCACTGGGAAGTGTGGTTAGACCTATCTTACAAAACATGGGGGTTCTTGTAAGGTTGTGGACACATATACAGATTCCCAAATTGATGAGTTTGGGAAAGAAAGTTTGAGGGTGGTGACAATGTGTGTGTGAACATGCATGCGTCTTGGAGAAAGAAGTGGGGATTGGTAAAATGTGGCCTGAACCTGTGTTGAAACTATGTGTATCGAGGAAAGGAAGAACAGGAAGAGTGACTCTGATGGCCCTGTGTGCTCATGCTGGTATGGGGGTTGTTTGGGAGTACCTCTCCCCCTAAATCGGGGTGGGTGTTTTCTGAAGTTGGCTTACTAGCCTATTGTGTCCTGTGTGTTGTCTGTTATGAAATTGAAAGGATGTCCCTGTCAGCATATGTAGGGACAAAGGAGAGGGTGGTGGGATGGGCAAAAGTCAGGAGAGGGAGGTGTAAACATAGCCAGCAGAGGCATCGTAGTTGACTTTGAGTTGACCCTCCCTGATAAGCGCATGAAAATGGCAGCCAACTGATGTCAACATAAGCAAGGTTCTGTACCAAAGGAGCAGAGGGAAAATAGTGCACTCTTTGACTTTGCTTGGTGGTTGAAGATGAAAAGTCAGTGTTGGTCTAGCTGAAACTGTTTGTACTAAATGCAGTACACTTTTATCAGTATCTAGTTTCTCAAAGTTTGAATCTTGTATTGGTAGGGCCTACTGCATTAGTTGTATTTCTTTGGGGGGTTTTTCTTGTTTTTTTTAAAATGTGTGATGTAACAAGTCAAAGTCAAAGAGTCTTTTGAGAAAGTATTGGGCTATAGTGTTGACAAATGTCCTGGTGGGGGTTGATGGATGCTTTGGTGTTGTCTGCCTCTTTATTGTCTTTATTTGTTCCTGTTGAAATTGAAATATAGTTGTTGTTGTGCTTGCTGGCCATACACCACCTCTCAGTATCACTTGTTTGGCAAAAATGAGCGCCTGTCTGACTTATTTTATTTATGTTCAAATAGATTAATCAACAAACAAATAAATATATCAAGCTTGATAAGTGGTGTTGTTAAACCCATAGCATCTTCTTTCAAGTGTATGGATATGTTAGGAGTATAAAAAGTGCAGTCTATTATAATTGCTATTATATATCTATACAGTTCTATAAAAATGACAAAATAAAATTGCTGTATCTGTTAATATCTACTTCAGATGTTTGATTTTTAAAAATAATTTTTGTCCCACTTTTATTTTTGTTCATATGAGATAAGCCAGTTTTTGTTCTTTGAAAATTGCTTTTAAAAATCTAATTCTAATAAATTAGAGTGGTGAAGGAATTAGGTGTATTTTTTGGGATGATGAAGATAATACAGTTGGGCCCAGATAACACTTAACACGGAATAACCCAAAATAATAAATAGCTCGTACAATTTGTGAATTCCCCAACTGATATCTCTATTTTTTCATTATATTGGTTAACAGAAATTATGGATGAGTCAAACATATTTGTCAATCCCAGACATGTTTGAGTTATTTGTGCCTGACTGTAGATCTATTCCATTTGTTGTTCTGAATTCTGAACACAATTTATGCAATCATGAGTTTGAATTCTCAGAGTTCAGTCTATGGCCCATAATTAGAGCCAAGTCTGTAGAAACACTCTTGTCTATAGATGAATTGTTCAGGCTTTGTTTTTGCATGCATTCTATTTGCTTTACTAGACACAAACTAGGCTGCATGGCACCGTAGGTTACGAACTTGATCTCTTGATCTGTCTGGTTGAAAATCAAGGTTTGAATTTGAATGGTGTCAAATTTGTCTTTCTCATACTTCTTGAAATGGTTTCCTCTCTTGACCAAAGAAGTGAAGTAAAGGATAAGTGACAAAAATGCTGAGATTATACACAAAAATAGTTCCATGTGTGCACCTGAGTCAGAGTCACTGAGAGTGTAAGCACTTGTTTATACAGTGGAGCTCGGATTCAACGAGATGAGATGTATTCCCCGTTTTTTTTTTCCCTTCTTTAAAATCCCTAAAATAACCCGGATTCAATGAGCACTTAAATCAGCCAGCTCGGATTCAACGCGGTCGCTTCCACTACTTCCAGGGCGAACAGCCAGTGTGGATGTGGCTTCGCTCATTTTTCTCCCACAACGAACTTTATTTATGGGTTAATAAAACAGATATTTCGGATTTCATTTAACAGAGTGTTAAACACTTGATAAGGCTTCCTTTCCATTCTGTGCGAAACAGTGAACAGCCGCGATTGGGGTCGGTAGAACAAAAATTTTTAAAAGGCCTGGATTTACTCTACAGTGTAATAAAAGGCTGATCGGACACTGCTAATACATGTATCACTTTCAGGCAGCGACTGTAGTAGCTTTCTCAACTTTCTGGTCTAGATTTGCCAAAATTATTATGAAAATCAAATACAAAGAAATAACTTAGAAAACTGAATTAGTGCAGAGGTGAAAATACCAAACTTTTATTAAAACCACAATATTTCCTGTAGAAAAATAAGAGTTCAAATACATAGAAACATCAAGGAGGCAGGATTTTTAAAACTGGCAAGAACAAAAATAAAATAAGAACTACCACCAGGCGAACAGAAATTGTTACTGACTTTTCAGTTTCATACGGAAAGCATGTAAAATTTCAACATCTTCTTTCCCCTACTCGGATGAATTGTACATAACAGCTTGCACTAAGAAAATTAATTCCATCTTTTTAGACAACAAACATCCCTTGTTCCCTCAAATAAAAACATCAGTCAGAAGTAAAAGACCCATGCTTCTGATCTGTAACAAAGAAAGATACAGAAGGTCATTTTTACCATCATCTATCAAAATGCTTCCATCTTAACCATCTTGTTTAGTGTACTTACGACCTTAGAGCATGCATCAAAATAACATTGAGTGTGTATCTAGCTTACGATTATTATTGTTTATATTGCTGCTCATTTATATTATGTATGTGATTGTAAGCCTACTTGTGTGTGCATAAGCGTGCACGTGGGTACGTGTGTGTGTGTGTGTGTACTCGTGGTGGAACACCAAACCAATGTGCCAGGATCTGGACAATAAAGATGTATCTTATCTTATACGCACTTAAACTTAAACATGTGGTATAAATAAAAGATACAGTAAAACCCTGATAAATAAAGGTACAAACATGAACATCATGAGACCAGAAAATTTCTATGTATTAAATAAGTTGATTTCATGTTAAATATAAATAGAGTCTATTTGTACTACAACTTCTACTGCAAGTGCAAGACTGGGATTATCACAGATGGTACATGTTCATAGCTCCCCCCTCCTCAGGATCATCCACCTCATGCTTATAAAAGAGTGAAGAGTTAAGCACAGTCTTATGGAATAGAGAATAAAAAAATAAGGAAAGGTGACTCCTTTTTTACTGTTCAGATCAGATGAGATCAGATAGATAGATGATTGTGTACCCTATTTTTAGTCATTAATAACGCATCATAGCTGCCAATCCTTGGAAATTAAAAAAACCTCAAAAAAACTCCAAACATTTATTTTCAACCTCTGATGGAATGGATGCCTAGATCAGACAGAATGAGGTTCAAGGGAGGTTGTAGCTATTTACTGGACGGTTTTCCACACTACTCAGTTAAGAACAAAAGCATATAATTATAACAAAACATGGGGTTGATCAATCATGTTGATTGAAGCTGCAGTGCATAGAATAAAGAGGGGGAAAAATGGGGTTTAAAATCATTCTATGCTAACATGAATTTCATGTTTAACGGCTTTGTGTTAAACACTCTATAGGGTGTATAGGTATAATACAATGAAATATTAATCAGCTTGCACTTTTCACTGTTTCCTTTCTTTCTATGAATAAAACTGTCTGCTATGCTTGTTTGTATTTACACATATATGGAAAAAATCAATTGCCTTAGGTTGAAAGCAACATTTGACACACTGACTTCAGTATTTTTTTCTTTGCTTTCTTGGTTACAGTACAGTCCACTCTATAATTCAAAAAAGTTATTATACAGAACATTTTGAACTATACAGAACCTCCCTTTTAAAGTAAACATCAGCTTCAGACATATTTTAACAGTTAAAACAACCCCAAATTATCCCCTGACAGTGTTGAAATAGACCAAACTGAAAATCAATAACACTGTTACTGTTCACTGTACCAGTAACAACAAATTATTAGTAAACTGGAAGTCACTGTCGTACATTGGAAAACAATTCACTGCCACATGCTACTACACTGACATCTCTGCATAGTCATTCAAATTTCCCTGAAGTAAGACAGGGTAAACTTTTAAATAGAGCTCTATAAATATGATCATATATTTATTATACAGTCGAACCTGGGTAAGACGGAACCACAAGGGAGCCAGAAAAAAATTCAGTCTTTGGCAGGGAAATTTATGGGTGGGGGGTGGGGGGGTTCAAAGACCCAGCCGGTGGGAATCAAGTAAGCTATCCTCTCTGATAATGACAAGCGTCAGTCTTACTTATCCAATAATTACAACCAGTGCTTGCACTTCACATAGGACCGCTGATTGACCTACAGTGGAAACCTGATATAACAAGGATGGTGGGAGTAGAGAAAAGGTCCCGTTATATCTGATCCCTGTTAAATAAAAAATGCAAAGGAAAGTAAAAGTAAGCATTTGTGGACTAATCCAGCTGTACTTATTCATGGGTAGTTTCCCTGGCCACAAGTACCCACTAACAGGGGTTTTGGCACCAATTTTCTCCTTGCCTCCTTAAACCATATCAGAAGAGTTTGGTCCACGGCATCTGCATCGGGTAGTCTCATCTTCTTTCGATCCAGAGCAAACTTTTCATTGGAGTATGCTACCACTATCTTCTCTCTATCCTTGATAATGGTGTGAATCCACCCTTGTGGAATGTCGAACTGACGACAAATCTCTGCCAGTGGAGCTTGCTTTTTGTCAACAGCCTGGATTATTTCGTATTTTTGTCCATTGAAAGGCATTTTCTCTAGCGCTTGACATCGTTGGTGACACATTACGCTTGTGTGTTGCTAGGTTTCTCACGAGATCGAGGTCTGCAGCACAACGCAGCCCTCTCTCACTTCACACGCTGCGTGTGCTTGCAGTGGCATGGCTTGCGTGGGCTTGCTCCATCTCTGCGTTACTCTCTCTCTCTCTTACTTTTTATTCATTGTTAACGAGCCTTTGTCCGTGCTATAACCGGTTGGGCTCCAATGAGGCCCTGTTATTGCCGATAACTTTTAATAGAGACAAAGAGTAGGAAAAAACAGGGATTTTAAAAATCCCTGTTATTACCGGGCCTATTATACATGTATATGGTTTCCACTGTATTAAAAACAAAAATGTTTGAACATCTCCTTTGCTTCCACCCTTAGCTCCACCCATCAGAGTAACAAGCACAGTCAAACAATGACATGTAACAATTCGAGGAACTCTTTTTCTCGGCTGGCTGTACAATCAGGGCGGCAGGCATTGGGCAAACTAATTTCACACCTCTGGCTTCTGCCTACCAATGAAAGTTTCCACGCTGGAGCGCCACTTCAAACTTTCACTGGCACTTGTGAGATTTCACACCCACATCACCTTCATTGCTCAGGGCTTACATGGATGGGGCAACACCTACACCCAAAATAGCACCCCTATTCCTCTTCCTTGCCCAGCAGCATGGAGCTGGTGGAACCAGACTTGCGAGTTTTGTTACAAATCAGGGCTGAGCGGGCAAAGCATTTTCCATCTCAGACAGGTAAAACCCTCAAAAGGGAGCGTATTTTTCTTTCCATTTCGGGGTTGAACAGGTTTATACTTTATACAGGTAATTAAAAGAGAACTATAACAAGGGGGGAGCGGGGAGATTCTGTTAAGACAGATTTCCGTTTTACACAGGTTTCAGTTAAGGTAGGTTCGACTGTATTGATAAAAATCAAACATTTCAAAGAGATATATATATATATATATATATATATATACACACAAAGGCACTCACTCTCTTTCCAACAACGGTTTACAGATTAATGCAAAATTTAAAAAACCCCGTTATGTTTATGTTGATTATTTTAGGATAGACATACATAATATCTAAGATGTGCCCTTTATCATGGTCATGTTGTGTCACTGTCATGCCACTTTGTAAGACAAGGGATGATCTGTAGCTTGTTTGCTAACTTTCAGGCGCATTGGTAAAACAGTAGAAAAATTAGCTAAAATTGTTTTAACGAGGACAGACAAAAGTGAACAAGCTATAATACTATTTCTTTATGGAGCAGTGACCTTATTTCGAATCCATTCTTGAACCCAGAATGACTTTGCAATTCTCATGGTACATTACATACCACAATGATTCTGCCAAAGATGAATGTCATTTGTCTAACTCAGACAGATGTCTCGGCTGCCTAAAAAATCAAGCTGAGAGGGGCACAAAATTCCACTTCATGACAAACGGACAAAAAACATCCAGCTTGTATTTCCTTTTTACAAACTGGTGAAACATGAACAACATCATACGTGTATATTAGTGAGATCTTGTAGATTCACTGGTAAAACCATGTCCCTGAACCAAATAAAATCGGAGTGGGTATTGTTTGTACAATTATAAGGCATAAACAAGTATTGATAGACTAGGGTTGCCCATGTCAGACTTGCAAAAGTGGGGGAGTAGGTTGGAATCCAGGTCTGGGCCTGAAGCATTCTTGGGAAAGACGCCACACAAGCTCTCCTTACTTAATCCAGGTGGGAAAGAGTACCCAGCTAAGAAAGTGAAAGATTTTGTCAGAAAGTAAATGAAAATCAGAATAATAAATGTTAAGCTCCTGAAAAATGGCAGCTTGCACCAAGAGCTTCACAGGAGGTTAATAATGTTTCATACAGTTATAGGGCTTGTAGGGGTAATAAATTGCAAAACTATGATAGAGCCTACTTTCCAGCAGAGACAAGGTGCTGCATATGCAATCTATTTTTATAATGATTAAAAACAAAGTATAACACTACTAAAAAGATGTGCGTTCAAGAAAATAAACTCCAGCTCAGAGAATAAAGCAAAACATAAAGTATTTCCTCTGTCATTGTTCATACATAGTACAAAGCAAAGTTGAGTAATTAAACTTACAAATTTGTGTTTGATTATGAAAATACCATACATAATGATGTAAGAGTGCATGTATGAATAATGATAAATAAACAGATGACTTTAGTGAGGGCTTATTTGCCTCAGTGAAAACAAACTTCAAATTCTTACTAAAAAGATTAATAAACAATATCTAGGAAAGGTTGTATGTATGTACAAGTGTATACGGTGGAGTATGATAAACTCAAAAGACATGCAATTTAACAGCAATAGTAATAGTTTGATACAGTATAACACGTGTAGGTCGAACACAGAAGACTCAAAATCACGCATCCGTCGAACCTTGCCTGCGGTGACGTTTTTTCTTCTTTTTTATCTTTGTAAGATGTCCCTCGAACTATGGATCCCTCAAACTACCAAGGCCGGTCCCGATGAATTCGAGCCATCCGTGTTATACTGTATGTAATTATCAAAACAAAGAGCTTGAAATCTCCACCCTTAGGTTCATTACAATATTAATTTAATAGTATAGGCCTTCCTAGATTGCTTGGTAAAGAGTGAAAAGTAAACAAAAGAAGGCAGCTTGTAACGATCACAAATTCACCGCAGACAGCAGTCCCTTTCCTTTTCCTCAAGTGGGGTGCTTTTATGCCTAAGATTAAGACCATTACTACTTCTCCTATAGCACATTTTGGTGACTTTTAAAAGTATGACCTGAATGGGAGATACAGATCTGTTGGGCTTTTTACACAGAAGACAAAAACCAAAAGCCACAAACATTTTAAGCAAGGCTAGTTTCTAATTTATATAGTCGATGTTTGATGACTCTGAATCCAGGAGAAGCTTCTATGCTGAGGCTTTCCATGGGTGGGTTGGGCCACAGCACGTCATAGATCCTGGTCGAAAGTCATCTGGTGTTCTATAGCACTCAATTTTGGAGCTCCCCTGAAAGAAAAATAAAGTACACACGGTTACTTTATACATATTCAAGAGTAAAAAATATTTGTTCAGGCCTGCAGATGGGAACTAGAATAATTGTGTGGAAAATTCTGTCTTTGGATTCATAAGCCAAAGGTGTCTGCCAGTTCATTTGGACAACAAAGATGAAAAGGAAACAAAATTTGATCTTTTCACTACGCAGGTCAAGAGATAACAAAAATTACGATATTATGTTCATTATAACTGATCATCTAAGGGAGAAAATTATATGAAACCTCTTTGATTTAATCTGCTCCTCACAAAGCAGTGATGAGAAGCTGAAGGCTTAAAACTCAGCTACAAATTACCATACAGTCAAACCTGAGTAAAAATAAGATGGAATCGCAAGGGAGCCAGAAAAAAATTCCGTCTCAGACAGGGGAATTGAGGGTGGTTTCAAAGGCCCAGCTGGTGGGATCAAGGGTCGCTTGTCCGGTTGGCAAGCAGTGGTTAAAATTTCACATTTCAACTGATATCCTCTATGATAATAACATGCGTCGGTCTTACTTATCCAATTAACACCAGTGCTCACATTTCATAGGATAAAATCAGAAACGTTTGAACATCTCCTTTGCTTCCACCCTTAGCCTCACCCATCTGTGTAACAAGCACAGTCAACCAATGCCACCCCTTACTGCCGGATGTAACAACGATTCTAGGAACTCTTTTCTCAGCTGGTCATACAGTAGTCTCCTTTGCAAGGGGAGGAAGGGACGCAGTCATCTCAATTCCTTATTACTCTAGTGACCTCCCTTGGAGAGAGGGGGTCATTTTGGCAGATAATGTGACGACACATGACTGTTTTGTGAAGGATTTCACGACAGGGGTTAAGAATACAAAGGCGTTGAATGGGGTGGGGGGGGGGGGGGGGAGAGAAAGACAAACTCAATGTAATGAATACTATAAACTTCCGGAACAGATAGCCTAAGAGGAAACTGTTGGTCATAGTCATAGAGAAAACGGACCAGCCACGTAGCTTTCCAAGCGACCACCCCCGACCGTAAATTCATGCAGATTCACCCTGGAGAAACATTATCTCTTGTGATTCGTTGAACAAGTACGTTATAAGTTCTTCGAGTGCAGCTTATTAGGCTTACTTGGCTAATCTTTAATCCTATAGAGGCCTGTCTAGTGTTTTACGGCATGTACGCATGTCGCGCATCAGGCCTAGACCTAACTAAACATTGCACGCAGTCCCTCAAACTCAAACACCAGTCAGAAAGCTTCTCTCAAAGATACATTTCGAGTGACCAATCAACAAACATTTCAGTCCCCCCCCCCCCAACATTTGACCGACCAGCCCTAGACCGAGACCTATTCGTCAGTGGAAAGTAGGGTGTGTAAACGCTGTCCATCACTCTCTTTGAGGGGCACTCTCACCAAATATCTGGTTTTCTAGTAAATTCTAGGCTCGTCTTATGCAGGCTGTGCAGGTTGTTGTGAAAATTTCCCCTTGTCAAGCTTAACTTGTCGGCGTGTTTCGCGGATTGGAGCGTGCTCTGTGCGTTTAGAGGAAGTGACCGTGCGTTTGTATGTCTAAATTATATAGTAAAAAACCCGTCAGATGACGAAAGCGTGCGTTTGAGCGGAGCGTGCTTTTGTATGGTGTGCGTTTATGCGGAGACTATTGTACGATTAGGGTGGCAGGCATTGGTCAACCCAATTTCACACCTCTGGCTTCTGGCTATCCAGGAACAGGAAAGTTTCTGTAGTGTCTCGCTACTCGAGCACAGTACTAGCACTCGTGAGATTTCACACCCACACTACCGACTACCCTGACCATCTGCATCGCTAAGGGCTCACATAGATGGGGTAACATCTAATCCCAAATTGAACTCCTACTCCCCTTCCTCGCCAGCCGACATGGTGTTAAGTTTAGAGCTGGCGGAACCAAAGTTGCCAGTTTTGTGTCAAATCAGGGTTGAGCGGCCAAAACATTTTCTGTCTTAGACAGGTAAAACCCTTGGAAGAGAGCAGATTTTACTTTCAGTTTCATTTGATACATTTTACAGTAGTTGTAAGACTTCACCTCTCTGCGAATAAACAAAAATGTTTCGAACATTCAGATATATCCAGCCAGCCATTGATGACGGCAACAAAGAAGAAATGTATTGTAACAACCCATGTCCTGAGCCTGCAACCAACTCGTTGGGAACTCAGAGAAGGGAATGTTTAAAAAAAGAACAACAATCCCCGTCCCCTTTAAAACAACCCCCCCCCCAACACGACCTTGGAAGGGAGCAGATTTTTCTTTCTGTTTCCGCGTTGGACAGGTTTATATTTTATACAGGTAGTGAGGAATATATCAAATGGGGAGTGGGGAGATTCCGTTCAGACAGTTTTCCGTTTCACAAAAGTTTCCGTTAAGGCAGGTTCGACTGTTTAGGCCAAACGCATCTGTGTGTCCACTCAAATTGCTGGTGCCTGTTCTGCAACCTGGCTTGAAATTGAAACCGACTGAATTGAGAGTGTGTTAGCAATCCTTTCCAAACAGCTTTCAAACTGCAGTGAATTTAAATTGGGCTATTCTAACTAATATAACCTAGTCCGTCTGAAACTACAGTACTTTTAACTCAGTTATTTACTTCCATTGTTTTTTCACTTATTCTGCACAGTCATGTCTTCCCAGTCTAGTACAGTAGTCTCTTCCTAAGATCCCAGCGCTTACGATCGCGGTTCGCTTAAGATCCTGTTGTTTAAAGAAAACACAATTTTTACTATACAAAAGTCCCCCCTAAGATCCCGCTCTGATTCACTCTGACAGAAGGTCTACCTTCAGCTAAGATCCCGCATTTCAGATCATGATTTACGGAACAAAAACGCAGGCGCGCACAGCCAAGAGTGAAACGTTGAAATCATTGACCTGCCTGTCGTGTCAAAGATCAGTCACTCTCGTGAATGTGATCGCATAAGTGTTGTAAAACTCGAAGAAACAGTACAATGTTTGCCCCTGACAGGATAACACTGAGGTGTGAACTGACCAACGCATTTGTTACCCGAAACATTGCATTTGCATCTGAGCTCTCCACCTAAATTTACATCACTCGCTGGGTGGGTAGGCCCTACAACTACAAGTTCGCTGCTGGCGGGATCACATTGAACTGTGAACTCTTCCTTGACCATTGCAGCAATAAATCGTCTCTATTCCTGAATTTGCCACACAGAGTAAATTTTAATAGAGGCGTAGTCACAACATAATGGTGCATAACGACCAAGGCTGGGGAACTCGGTCAGAGAAGGAAAGCTATAAATTTTGGACAGATAAGGGGAGGGGAGGGGCAACTGGATAAGCGCAGAACTTGAGACTCACAATAGGTTAATGAATTTAAATGGTGTGCCTCGTTCCACTGTGATTGGTCATCAAAGTTGACCACTCTTTGCTCACCATAATATGTCATAAACTCACCCAGGGGTCACGTCAGTTCATTTTAAAGTGGAGAGAGACCATTTTACCAGTTGTGGGCCTTAACATAGGTCACTTTAGATTTGTCCCTGGGTCCGTCAGCTAAGATACCGCATTTCCCTAGCTCCTGAGCACCGGGATCTTAGGCGGAGACTACTGTATTTTGTCTGAATTACTTCTCTATCTTTATGAAATGCTTTACCTTTCGGAACAAATTTCAGTGCTGAGCTGAAGATTCAAAACCTTGACTGTCCTGCATTTGGACCATCAGCAAGAAATTCATGTCCAAGTCCATTTTTGCAGTTTCCACATATTACCTGTGGGAAATTTAAGTAATGGTCAGTTTGTTGAAAAGAATAATAAAATATAGTCTATAACAGACATGCTAGCAGTTTGGTATAAATGGCGGGAGAAGCTTACAAAAGATTATGAAGGAAACCTCTCTATCTGGATGGCCGAATTAACGTTCTTATAACAAAATATGTATTAATTCAAAAGTTTTTATTTACAGCTATAGAATTTAAGCAATGCCAAGAAAAGCTGGAACACCATGTACAGTCGAACCTGTGTAAGACAGCCACCCATTGTCAAGGAGAAAAGAGGCCGCATAAGACAGGTGGCCGTCTTAGGCAGGACTGATTAAGATGAAGAAAACAAACCATTCCTTTCTGAGGTCCCAACCGAAGGTAGCCTCATTGTTGTTGTTGTTATTGTTATTCTTTTCGCTGTTTTTTTTTCTGTTCTTTCTTTTGTTGTTGCTTTTGTGCAAGGGTGACAATAAAACGAAATGTGTCTGACAAGAAGGATCGAGTGCTACGGTAAAACAAACACATGGGTCGCCACCTGTCGGAGAACAAGCGACGCTTCTGTTACAAGTTCATGTTGACGTCCATTGTTACTTTGTTACAGACTGGGTAAACAGTGACCACTCATCTCACTTACGATTTGTGTATGAATTCTGGGCGGGACTTATGGGTTTCGAGGGATCACACGCTCACCTCACCAGCAACTGAAAATTTGTCAACAGTGGGAGGGGCCTACGCAACACAATCGGTTGGAGGGACTACCTTACAACAACGACAGGGCAATAGGTTATGACGTCTCGCCCACAATGCACAATTTATGACAAAATGTAATGGAGTCACTAAGGTAGCCGTCTAAGACAGGTGTTATTGCTTAGTGTGATAAGGGTTGTGTTTTAAAAAATGGCGGCCACAGTCGCGTTGGACAGGTGCCCGTTTTACACAGTTAAATTATAGAAAAAATGCAAGGGAGGAAATGGAAAGTGGCCGCCTTAAAGAGGAGGCCATCAGGGCAGGTTCAACTGTAGTTTGGGAATGTGACACTGTAACTTTTAAAGAATTTGTTAAAGATAGCAGATAAATGTGTATTCTCTGAATTAGCTCTAATCATTTTGAAGAACAATAGTATCTTCAAAAGGACACAGAAAGGAGGGAAAATAAAATCTCCAGGAATGAGAAACAGAAGAAGGCTTTTCTCCTATTTGTCCTCATTTGGCCTTCTGCAATATTGTACTAGAACTTTTCCAATGGCAGAAACATTTTGCAAAAAATTTAAAAGTAAGCAAAAAACTTTATACCTGTTTTTATAATATAAACAGATTGAACCCAAAATTCAAGACAAAAATTTCAAGAAAAGTTCTTTCAGAATAGATTATTTACAGCATATTATTAGTCATACATTAACATACCTTCAATGAGCTACATCTCTGCCATGGCATTTCCTTTGACAAGGGAAAAATACACAGATGTGCACAGATAACATGTACACCCAGTATCTATATCAAACTCACAACTGAGCTCTCCACCTAAAACTGACATCACTTTGCTCCAGGCAGGATCACATCGAACTGTGAACCCTTCCATAAACATTGCAGCAGTTGACTCTACTCCCGAATTTGTTAGGCAGACTGAACTTTAACTGGTGTGGTCATGACAAAGTGGTGCGTAACGATAAAGGAGGGGGAACTCGGTCAGATTCAGAGATGGATAGCTATAAATTTTGGACAGGTAAAGGGGAGGGGCAACTGGAAAAGCGTAGATTTTGAGGCTCACGATAGGATAATAAGAGAAAATGGCATGCCTCATGCCACTGTGATTAATCGTCAAGGTTGAACACTCCTTGCTCGAACCCACTCACGTCAATTCATTTTTGAGAGAAGGAGACCATTTTACCGGTTGTGGGCCTTAACAAGGATCACCGTAGATTCTTCCCACAGTGAGTTGGCAAAGATCCCGTTTGCTTAAGATCTCGCATTTCCCTTGCTCCAAAAAGTCGCGCACCATCCTGAAACACACATATATTGGGGTGACCTTATTTAGGCCACATATGGCCTAAATAAGCTAAACCCCCCCTCCCTTACCTTATTTAGGCCACACCTGTGGCCTAAATAAGCTAAACCCCCCTCCCTTACCTTATTCAGGCCACACCTGTGGCCTAAATAAGCTAAACCCCCCTCCCTTACCTTATTTAGGCCACACCTTTATACAAAGTCACAGAAATATTCCTTTTGTGCTTATTGAGGTACAGTGCAGGGTGATTTTACCTGCATGGATAATTGGACAAAATGGGCAAAATCTTTATTGCTAATGGTCATATTTAGACAAATCCTATATCATTGTCTTTTTTTTTCTTAACCTCTCATTGTTATTAAAGAGTAAGCCAACTAGGTAGTAATTTCGGATTCCTAATACTATTATTATGGGCATTCTTAAAATTTTTAAACTTGTTTTTAGCGCTTTTTTCAACGTAAAACGGATTCCGTAAAAAAACCAATGACCTTATCTTTCTTTTTCAAAGTAGTGTGCATATATTTGTGTGAAACTATATATTCTATGCTTTCATGTACGTGAAAAAAGCTAATAAAGGCAAGCAAAATGTTCTTCAGAGACAGATCTAGTAGTAGGCCCACTGAATTTTTTTTATAAACCGGGAAAGATGACCAGAAAATAACAAAATTATTTTATGATCTTCACTTGCACTTGCAATTTTTTTGATAAATTATAGTATACCTCATTGTCTTTTTTTTCCATCATTTTTCTTCACTATTCATGACAACTGGCATGTATTGTTTTCCGTTATTATCAAGAAAGTGGATAGGCGGACTGCGGGGTCTATCTAGCCAAAAGGATAGGTGGACCCCGGGGTCTACCTAACAAAATGCTAGGATTTAGGATGTGAGCCCCGGAGTCAGCGTAGTGAAATAAGTAGTAGATCTAGGTTTAACTAAGGATCGATGGACCCCGGGGTCAACATAGTGAAATAAGTAGACCTCAGTTTATTCTATAGTAGGACTGGCGGAGCCCTTGGTCAACGTAGTGAAATTATAAGTATATCTAGGTTTAATTAAGGATTGGTGGACCCTGGGGTCAACGTAGTGAAATAAGTGCATGTAGATCTAGGTATAATTTTAAGGATTGGTGGACCCTGGAGTCAACGTAGTGAAATAGGTAGGTTGAAGGTGGACCCCAGGGTCTACCTAACGAAATGCTAGTTGGGTTTTTAGAATAGGTGGAACCTGCGGTCACCGTAGTAAAATAAGTAGGTTTAATCAAGGTGTCCCGGGGGTCCACCAATCCTTAATTAAACCTTCTTATTCTTCTACGGCTATGTTGACTCCGGGGTCCACCAATCCTTTTAAAATTAACCCTACTTATTTCACTACGCTGACCCCGGGGTCCACCGATCTTTAAAGAAACATACTTATTTCACTACGGTGACCCCGGGGTTCACCTGTCCTAAAACCTAGTATTTCGCTAGGTAGACCCCGGGGTCCACCTTAAACCTGCTTATTTATCACTACGTTGACCCCGGGGTCCACCAATCCTTACTTAAACCAAACCTTATTTCACTACGGTGACTCCGGGGTTCACATCCTAAAACCTAGTATTTCGCTTTGCAGACCCCGGAGTCCACCTATCCTCTTCAGGAGTAAACTATCATCAATTTTCATTGATTAGCATATTTTAAAAAAAATATTGAATCAGAGACTCGCTGTCTAAAAAGTCCACTGCTAATGCTATTCTTTTCAAAGAAAATGGCACAATTTGATTTTATGACATGTTGAAAAAAAGAGTTTTAAAAATATCCCGAAAACAACATAAAATGATTATATAGATCTCTCTCTCTCTCTCTCTCTATATATATATATATATGTGTGTGTGTGTGTGTGTATTTTATTATGTATACTAAAAGACTGAGCAGAGGCTTACAATGTAAATTCTGTGCTCTACAAGTAGAGAAAATCTTAAGTTTGCGCAAAACAGATTCTAGAAAAAAAGTTGGATCTAATTATTCTAATAAAAGTAAAAATGATTGTTATGCTGAGATTTGTTATTATTAACTCTGGAAATACAGTTACTTGCTGAATCTAAAAGTAACTAGAACTGTGCAATTCGTTTTATTTCAATTCCAAAGCCCAAAGGCATAGCAATAATAAGTTAGATCTAGATCTAGCAGTTGTAGGCTCTCTGGCTACTTCTAGCATAGGCCTGCTACTACTGATTCTAGACAGGGAATCTAGATCTTGCTATTGCCTGCACTATTAAAGTCAAATATATGGTAAAATAAAAACAAAACTTAATTTTTTGTCAGTCAGTACATCCCAATTGCCATAGCCGCACGTATTAATAATAGTTGAATAATGCGATACCGAAGCAACACATTATCACAGTGTGCAGGGGAGAGCGAGGTGCTCGGTCAATTCGGTGGTTCGGCTTTTGTAGATCTATGCATTTTTTACGGAAAGCCCTATTACCTGGCCTATTACTAGATCTATTAGTGTTGTGAAAACTTCAACCTCTACAGATCAGGCGTCAAAAGATGCTGAAAAATAATAATACGTCCTGAAGTTTCATAATTTATTTTTATACAGAATAACACAGTACACAGCCAGTAGTTTTTATTTCATCGAGTTATAAAAATGGCCTTCGTATAAAAATTGCCTTGTTTTCAGAAGCAAATTTTAATAGTTCTAGTTCTACCGAATCGATTTTCACGCGAATTCAACCATTTTGATGATCTTTCTTTTCCTTTTAAAAAGATGTAGATCTAGGCCTGTCGAATGTGGCAGTGCGAATAACACTGGGTTGTTTAGACCCATCAAAACACGAGGCTTCGTGGCCGATCACAAAAGTCTACGGGGCTTATTGAGGCCGATTCGCCCTGCTGCGAGCACGTTCACTAAATTGCCTACTAGATAGAATCTACTACCAAATATTCTCTACACGATCTTTGCTACTACTACTACTAGGCCTACTACTACTAGCCTACATGTACTACTACGAGACAGTACGAGAGAGTGTCACTCAGGCAAAGATAGTGTAACTTTGACTCAGCCACGTTGTGTACACACTTTTTATACCCCAAATTTAACCCGGAAGTCCATTCGGAGGATTTGACCTTTTCACTGGACCAAAGTGTGCCAAAATGGTAGCCTAGCTTTTGCCCCTCCATGAAGGAAAAATCTGGCCCTCATTCAAACCATTGGGATTGAGCAAAATTTTGCGTATTGTGCTTTGTTCTTTACAATATTCATTATGATTATGGTTTATAAGTTGTACACTGAGACATAACTGTACTAAATGAGAAAGGTGCACCATTATGAAAGTGGAACGAACTCAGTTGCCTGAAAAGGGTAGTTTGAGCATGTGTGGCCTAAATAAGCTAAACCCCCCTCCCTTACCTTATTTAGGCCATATGTGGCCTAAATAAGCACTCCCCATATATTGTTACAGATGCTTTGATTGAGCATTTTCATTAAAACAACTCTACTCTCCGCAAAAAAACTGTTCATAACTTTCCTTAGAGAATCTGGATGGATGTTGTGACACTCAATTGTGATTGTTTGCCTCAATTCGTCAAGAGAGCGTGGAATTCGTGTACACAACCGATTTTAGATGCCCCCATAAGAAAAAGTCGAGTGGAGCAAGATCCGGTGATCGTGGTGGCCACTCCACAGGCCCCATCCGTCCATAGTAGAGAGTTGTATTAATGAAAAAGGTGCTCAATTTGAGCATCTGTAACAATAAGTGTGTTTCAGGATGGTGCGCGACTTTTTGAACACCCTGTATATATAGGTACAGTCAAACTCGGGTAACTCGAATTCATCAGGGATTGGAAATAGTGTTCGAGATTTTCATTATTCGCCATGTCCATGAAAACCCCAAATACAAAGAAATAGAGAGAAAATCAAGGGAGGTAAAAAAGAACATTAAAAATTAATGTGGGGGTTAGCTCCCTCGATGAACGTGTCGACGGTGTGAAAGTAAGAAAATGAATGAAACTGGAAAGCAGAAAATCTCACGAGTGCACAGCCAACTCCTACGTCATTCCTTTCCTCTCATCTCATTGGCCTACAGTACAGAAAGTTACGCCTCTTGTCATCCGCACAGTGTGCGTCCCACAGCATGATTGCACACGTGGCAAACCAGTCATGCGGTGTGGTCAGCATCACTTCCCCCCCCCCCCTTCCTCCAGCCTCTCGTGGTGAAACAAAGACAACGTTTTGGCTTTAACAATGACAAAGAAACACCTATTCGTGGCAAGAAAGGCTGTAAAGCTGGGTCTTTAGTTGAGAATGCGAAGCAGATTTGTTCCAAAGAAAATATAGGGACTGAAAAGGGACAGAGCATTTTGTACGAGATATCCGAGAATTCTTGTTTTTGAGTTTGAGATTCTTGGGCATGCCCTTCATTTTGAGACACATTATGTCATAGCTCATTTTGTATCTGTGTAACAACAACAAATTTCGCACTGACCTTCTTTGAAACCCTTTAACGCCTCATAAAAATTCCTTTGGCCTTTCTTAACTCAAGACTGAGACCAATGGAAATCTAGATCTACCTTTATTGCTTTTGGTGATTCTGGAATCTTGTGGACACTGTCTTCTCTCATGGTTTGGGTAAATGCAGGCCATGGGGATGAGTGCTCATATTTCGACACACTGCTGAATAGCTCATGTCCACACTTGGCACATACATAGATCCCTGAAACAAACAAAGAACTTGCTACATTTAAAAAAAAAAGTTTTAAATCAAAACTTTACAATTGGTTCTACAGTCAACCTTGTTAAACCGCCTACCTTGGGACGAGCATGAAGTTGGTGGTACAAAGGGGGTGGCGGTATAATGGGCTGGCTTCGATTGCCATCTTGACTGGTAGTAGACAGATAGAGAAAAGAGACAAACTGTAGCCAGTCTTGCCTCATCTAGATCTGTATTGCACAACTGCCATGGGCAGGGGAAAAGCGAGCAGCAACCATGCAATTATTTTTGCTTATTTTACCTTGTCTTCCTCGTCTGACACATTTCGTTTTGTACCTTTGCACTTGCACATTGTCTTCTTCATTTGATACATTTTACGGCAGTTGTAAGACTTCACCTCTCTTCGTACAAACAAAAATGTTTCGAACATTCAGATATATCCAGCCAGCCATTGATGACGGCAACAAAGAAGAAATGTATTGTAACAACCCATGTCCTGAGCCTGCAACCAACTCGTTGGGAACTCAGAGAAGGGAATATTTTAAAAAAGAACAGCAATCCCCGTCCCCTTTAAAAGAACCCCCCTAACACGACCTTGGAAGGGAGCGGATTTTTCTCTCTGTTTCCGTGTTGGACAGGTTTCCGTTTTATACAGGTAATTAAAGAGAAAAAATATAAAGGGGGGAGCGGGAAGATTCAGTTAAGACAGGTTTCCGTTTTATACGGGTTTCCGTTAAGGCTGGTTCGACTGCATATGTATGCAAATTGTGTGTGAGAAGCGGGAAGTGCTGTGAACCATCCTATTTTCTGTATGACGGAGATTTATAGTATTTTATATAAGTTTATGAATAAAGGTTTTTTAACTTATTCGCTACGCTGAGCCGTGGGGGGCAGCGAGGCTAAAGTGCCGTCAGTACGCTAAGCCGCCCCCGGCGGCGCGAGAACCGATCTTCAATTTTAGCTTAAATTCTATTCCAATCCACATATCCATGTTAAAATAAAGGTCATAATGTAATGTTGACTTCCGGGTCAAGCATTTCCACTGAAAATCGGAAGTTTAGATTCAGTTTTGAAATGCGATTTCGTAGTTTATTCGACTTTTTTTTTATCGCGATGCCAAAATTATAGCCCGGACACCAGTTCTTGTAATTTTACACAACAAAATCTATCATTATTTTGCCCACTAAAGAAGTGTAGGACTCTTTTTTATAATATTGTTACAATTGGACTCATATTGCCAATGCACTGTTATTGAGAAATCAATATTTTTGAGTGCTAGATCTAGGTCTGAATCTAAATAGTCAAAATGTTTTTTCTCCCCAAAATCACTACTTTTTGATGAAATTACACAAAAAGTGCCTCTCAAGACATGTATAGGTTTACTCCAAATGCAATTCTGAATAATTCCATATAAGATACGAGCGGGGTTTTTTTTTTGTTTGTGATCGTTTTTCAAGATTATAAAATTTTTAGATTAAAAAAAAAATATCGGATGTTATGTTCAAAATGTACAAATATTATGGAATGTAGGTAAATAACTGCAAACTTTTCAATATTTTCCAGTTCTATATTCATTTATGGTTATTTTGATGTATCATTTGACTAGGTGCAAACATATTTTTTGAGTTTCACCAAAGATTATAAATGTTTTATTTTAAAATTTTATCCGCATCCAATCAAAACTGTGTTGCATAATCATCTCTTACAGGAGCCAAAGTTGAAAAATACATAAATAAACATTACAGATGTATTCTACAAACCATACTGAAAATATTGGTATATAATACGTTGATATTTATTTGAATTTGTGGCCCCAAAGACCTTTTAACTGCCCACTAGTCATCATCTCTTTCGCTCTCCCGAAAAAAAATTCGTCCACAAGCCGAAAATAACACGTAGCGAATGAATTAATAGAAGCCCAATTTTTGTGGAAAAATATGATTGCGTTAAGACAAATTGATGTGCAAAGTATGGGTGACACTGGTTCACCTGTTGAAGAGATATTTGAGGATAAGCTGTGCCCCGAATTTTTGACCGCCCTATATCCTATAGTGGCTCCAGTGACAAGCGATAGTGGCTTTGGTTCCATTATTAGTTTATGGAACAGTTCAGCACATGCACCTTGAATCAAATTAAATTCATAATGGGTAATAGTGCATTTAAGTTGTGTAAATTATTAGACCCAATGTACAACTACAATACGTTGATACAGTGGAATCCTGTTATAACGAGAGGGAGGGGACCGGAGCAAAATGTCCGTTATAGCAGGATTCTCGCTATAAGGGATCCAGTAATAAATTCAAGGGAAACTGTAAAGTAGGCCTAATCTATGAGTTTGGTGTTCTGATTATTTCCTTTTGCTATCTCCCCTGATGATGATTTTGTTTCAAGACCTCTAGGTCTTACTTGATCAAAAATCGAATCTGGTTTCTTTCTCTGGCGTTTATAGTGATGTTGACTGACAGCTCGTTGACGATCAGAAAGAAAGGGCTCTAGGATAACTCGCCCGCTGTGTTGTCCCCCACCCCATCACACCCTGTGGTACATTCCGTCTGCTTGCACATGCCACACATTCGCTCCATCCACCATATTGCTGTGACCTCTCCATACCCGCATCGGAGAAGTGAGAGGCATTTTAGGCCTTGATAATCTAAACAAGGCTTACGCAGGCCTATCACGCGATGCGTTCTGCTTGTCTGCGCATGCCACAACCTCCCTACTCAGTCGCTCCGGCCTTCATTGTTGACGCACATGGTCTCTCCCATTCTTTGTTTCGCTAGATCACCAACTAGTTTCTCAACTGACGAGGTTTTACATTATGTATAATTTGCCCATGCACTGTGCACAACAGCAGCAATATTCCGCTATAACCGACTTGCGTGTTTGTCTGATTGCACTATAGCAGTATTTTATTTACAAAGGTAAAGAAGGGAAAAAAACGGGGTTTAAGCATAGTGTCTTTATAACAGACTTCTCATTTTTTCCCCGACTCGTTATAAGTGGACTCCACTGTACTAATAATACTTTCGTTTGTAGCACACACATTAGACCCAAACAAAAAAACACCTTTTTAACTTGCATTTGTAGCACTCACGTTTGTAGCACATTACTTAACCAAACAACAATAACACGTTAATACTTGCGTTTGTATGTAAGTTTGTAGAATTTGCATTTGTAACACATTTACGGGGGATTGTCAGCCCCAGTCCTTAGCAAGACAAGAAACATAATTATCCATGTCACGAAAAACAAATTTAAGAAGATAGGATGGGAAGAGATCATACGACGTGCCAAACTGTCTGCGCAATTTTCGTTTAGCGTGCATCCACATGTTCTCGACGTGTCTGGTGTGGATGTCTGGATCATCCATGTCCACAAAGTGATGCTGATGAACAACTGATAATTTACTCGCGCTAATACTTGGGGTGGGTATTCAATTAACAGGCTGGGTTTAACTTTGGTGGACCCACCGTGTTTACATGTATTAATGTGCACAATCCATAACAACAATGGAGGGTTTCAGGGGGGCTTGCCCCCCTGTTAGTGGAGGGTTTCAGGGTGGGTTTGCCCCCTTGGCAACAATAATAATAAAAAAAAAAACATGCAGACCATAGTATGGCATTGCACAGCGAGGCTCAAAGGAAGCATGCCAGTTTGTCACAGGCCCACCCCGCCTCGACTGCGCCCTGCATGATGGAAGTTATCACTGACACTCTGAAAAAGAGTAAATGATTGATTGATTGTATGAATTAAATTTTATTTTTCATGTTTTTTTTAAGAAAGAACATCCATTGTTGAAATTTTACAGAGTAATTTGCTTTGATTTGCATACAAAAAGGAAGAAATATTGAACAAAAAAAGCTGAATTGACATTATAGAGGGACTTCTCTACACCACCATTTTGAAGGTGGAGAATAAAAAACTTACAGTGCGGTCAAAAATTTGTGGCGCAACTTATTGTCAAATAGACTCAAATATTTCCTCAACTATCGAACATAGGTTCTCCGATTTTTGCAAAATGACTTGTATCAATTTGTCTTAACAGGTCAACATTTTTGTACACACCTGCTAGCTGAATTCTAAAAAATTCCTGAATAAGTACAAATAAAAAATCCAAATACGTGGTTTCTACATCTTTAAAAATCATGTTTACAGCTGGGGCAATATTTCTTTTAATAGCAAGTCTGTCATGTTTTTCTAATAGGGATATATAAATGCTTATTGAACGCATGTTTTGAGAACCACTTGTGCAAAAGATGTGTTCACTATAAAAATAATTTCTTGTAACAAGTTTTGCAAATAAAAATTGACAAGATGGTTGTGGCGTATGCTATATATGCGTAATCAAAATGTGTGTGAGAAGCGGGAAGTGCTGTGAACAATAACATTTTACCTGTGACAGAGATTTCAAGTATTTTATATAAATTTATAGCCCCAAGTGTTCTAGAAAAATATGATTTAGTTAAGACAAATTGATACAAACTGCTGTGCAAAGTATGGATGACATTGATTCACCCGTTAAAGAGATATTTGAGGATAAGTTTGCGCCCTAGGCTTTCTCAGTTTCAGGCCTCACATCCCGCATGACTGGCCTTGGCATTGGAGGCAGAACACGTTCGTCGAGGGTCAGTGCGAAAAGCGGCGATAGACACGAGCGCTGGTGCGGGTGATGGAGCATTCTCGCACTGTACTCACTAGACTGGCCTACAAGTACAAGGAACCTTACTTAAATTCAATGCATTTTTGTTGTTGCTGCTTTGTTGTGAGAGTTTATCGGCTCTTATAACAAAGTAAGATCACATCAGTGACAGAGTGTATCAATTGGTCAACATGAAAATGAATTACGCTTGCATTTTACCACCAAAAAAAAGACCATGGCACACTAGTGGGGGACAACTTTTCTTCACTTGCAACATCGTTCTCATTCTACATGTTTCAACAAATAGGAAAGAAAATAAATTTGACGCACACACACATATATATATAATATATTATATTAAAAGCATGTAACTGAACACAATCCCTTACCTCTGAAAAAAAGTTACTTTGTATTTTTTTCTTTGCCTGTCCTTCATTTGCTCCACAAATCTTTTCATGAAGATAATTGCCAGCCGCATCAGCTTACGATAACAATATATCAAGATGAAATATCGCTGGAAAGTCCCACAAAATCGCCACTAATCAATTTCTGCACAGTTTTTCAGTGGTTTCCATTAAAAAAAACCCAACCCTACCCAACAAGTAGTAGTAGTAGTGTAGGCCAACAATGTCTCTCTGGAAGGTTACACATGAAGTACAAAATTTCATCCAGGCTAACTGACTCTAGCATGTGACAACATCTCTAGTGAAGCCTGGATGCCTGATTGTGCTTCAGTTTGTGAAGCTTCAAATGAAACCCCTTTCAAGTGGTCATGGGTATGGTGAACAGAAGTAAAATACATGGAAAATGCAAAAACAGGGCCATCTCGAGTTCTGCTGAGCAAGACAAATGTACTATAATAATCTACTCTTTGCAACATTGCCAATGGCTGTCAGCGTCATATCCATTGTTTGATAAAATGAATCGAACTTGAAGACACCTGTTTATTATATATATATTCATTTAATCAATATTACTATTAGCAGCTCTAGAAGAAGCTGAACTTGTTGTAGTTGCTCTTTTTTTTTCTCTTTTTGGAGCTGGTGAGCCACAACATAATGGTGGTACTTCTGGAAATATTGTTGGAGACTCTGTGGGCACCATAAATCTTCCAGATCGTGTCAAAGATACCTCAGGTGGGAAGTGCAGAGAGCAAACTCATTATATTATATATATATATATATAATCCATGACATCTTCTACGATTAATTTATTAGGAACACTTTTGATCCACCATGCTTTTTTTCCGAATCTTTTGGAAATCTATATTATTGTTATTTTGCATCTCCCTTTTGGCTGGCATAATATAACCACTTCTATACTGCCCCATCCCCTACACTCTCTTCCCATGTTCAAATGTTGCTCACATGGTTCATTGCGCCAAAACTGAGACGTCAGCTGAAAACTTTTTCACAGTAAGAGTAGATTCTAGAAACAATAACATTCAAGACGAAAGAAAACTAGAATCTGGGCTGAACACTAAAACACATAACAAAAGCACAAATTTAATCCTTAGAATTGAGTTAGCGAAAATACATCCAAACGAAAAAAGCGTGTACACCCAAGAGGACTGAATGAAACAATGAAGAGGCTAGGAGGTTAGACAGACTAGACGGCTACACACTACACACATTACTATTACACTATCGGCACGCAAAAGCGTAATGCAAAAATGTTCCATCACCTGTATACGAATTAGTATTAGTACATCTGCCTATCGCTGCTTTTCGCATTTAATCGCCGCTTTTCCTATTGATCCTCGATAAGATAAGGACGGGTGTCGAGGCGAGCTTATCAAGATAAGGTCGTCCACCCCGGCCCTCAATGCCAGAGCCAAACATCCGGGATACAGGGCCTGGACTGAGAAGGCCTAGGTTGCGCCACAAATTTTCGATCGCACTATATAAAAGTTACAGTGTCAACGTGCTGTCATTATGACAAACTGACTCATGGGCCTGTGACAAACTGGGCAGCTCAGCGCCCCCGCTCAAAAGTAGCGGCTTCATTCAGTGTTGGGTCCACCAAAGTTCAATCTTACCCAAATAACGTGTTATTGTTGCACTTAATTGGGTCTAATTTAATGTGCTACAAACACAAAAGTACTGATAATAAAATACGTGTTGTCGGTGTACATTGAGTCTAATAATTTATGCACCTAAAATGCACTTTTACCCCATAAGGTCTAAAACATTACCGTTCATTACGGACAATTAATAGAGATCTCTATTACTATTATTTTCACATCACCATGATACACTAGACCTAGTCTAGATTATAGGCCTACATATTTTACCTCTATCAAAATGATCCCGGTAATGTTCTGCTTTTGCCCAGCTGCAGAATGACATGATACCACCAATATAAACAATTCCACAAAATACACTGAAAATAGGGCCCGTGCCTTGAGATCTCTTCAAAACTGGGCGTTGGTCTCTGAGAACAAGATCTGTTTATTTCTAATTTAGATTTGGGTTTCTAATCTAGATCATCTCTTTACATTGTTCTTGGCTTTGGCACTTGGCATTGTGCCTAGTCCTAAAGCTGTGTTCCGTAGTCAAACCGTTTACGGCAACTGGCAACAGAATGAAAAGCAAACTTCTGCTTCTTTCACCAGAACACGGGTTATGTATCATTGGAGACCAAAAAAAAAAAAAAAAAGTAATCTCCGTTTTCACCTGCATGCAAAATTTAAAAAAAAAAAAAATCTTACCTTTGATTTGGGACTGATCAAATTTGACGATTCAGCCAAAAAACTTGTACAATGTATTTAGTGTAGACTAGATCTAGATTCTAGATTCTAGATTTCTAGATCTAGATATCTACATCTAGATCTATGCACTTTCATTTTTGGTTTATCGCCACTAACCATTTGAGAACCGACATGCAAGTACAGTACATGTATTTCCTCTCACATTCTCACCGTCAAACTCAATGGTTATGTTTTATTACAATTTATGTTAATATGAATCTAGTAGGCTCCTGTTAAAAAAGAAAATACAGATGGTGTTAGCCATACCACATTTTAATGGACTACAGATGATCGAGTTACAAGGAGAATTTGTATTGCGTGAGGCCTAGGCTCGGAAAGATTCACGAACTTGACACAGACAAGGCGCTGTCTCATCTTTAGACTTTAGGTTTAGGCTAGGCCTGGGCTATTAATTATAATTAATATCAAAGTTTCAAACTCTGGAACACAAACTGTCAGAACAGGATCAGTGCCTGTGTGTGCTGTTATCGGGAAAGAGTTCAGTTTCAAATGCACTCACTTAGTCTTAGAGACCAGCGATGACCAGTCGAATTCGAACAGCATAATTATGACAAACCTTAGTGCCTTAGTGACAAACAGCTTAGATACGGAACATTCTCCTCGAAAAGTCCACTTCCACTTTCGAGATCGCAAATGTTTATTTTTGGAAGGAAACAGAATTAAAGTAGAGCTGCAATTCAATTTCTTTTCGACCTCAACATAATATTAAAATATTATTAGTATTAGTTACTTTTGTTGACGCTGCTTTTTTTAATTGACAAATAACATTTACTTGATTTGATAAAATACCGATAAAAATGTTAGAAATTAAACTAGCTCTGCATGCGGTTGCCCTGTTAAACAACAAGATGGCTGACTTTGAGCAAAGCGTCAAATAGGGCCTACTATGCGCTCGCGTCTTAATACTTCTTGAACAGTCGTATTGGAATGGGTTGTATTTAATTGAATTACGATGGGCATACACGTACATTTAGTATTGTAAAACGCAATCTCTAATGTGTGGACCAGTCGACCCATGAGGATATTTGTTTTCTGAAATATCTTTTCGATTTTCTTTTCGAGTTTCAAAACTCAACCACTCATTCATTATTAAAATTAAAACCTACTGTTGTACTATTACATAATGTCAGGTATAAACAGAGTTGGGTCCCCTATGGATCTATTGGATGAAAGCCTTGATGAAGCTCCTGACAAAGTCTCACTCCGGAAACGACTGTTAGAAGCAAAGCAACGGACAAAGTCTCGTATCCTTTTTTACTTTTTTATAATTTATACTACTCTGTATAGATCTAGATCTATATATAGTATATAGTGTATCATTTTATGTGATGACGAAATTAAAAGGAAACTTTAAGGGAAACAATAGACTATTATAGTCTAGAGTCTAGATCTAGTATGTTACTATTTATGTATGTGTGTAATATACTGTTTTTCAGAAGTACAGTCGAACCTGTGTAAAACGGAATCGCAAGGGAGCCAGAAAAAAATTCTGTCTTAGACATTTTCCGTCTTAGGGAAATTTAGGGGGAGGGGGGGGGGGGGGTTCAAAGGCCCAGCCAGTGGGATCAAGGATCCGTTATCTGATCTGCAAGCAGTGGTCAAATCTTCACACCTCTCAACTGCTATACTGTCTGATGCGCGTCAGTCTTACTTATCCAATTACCACCAGTGCTTGCCTTTCCGTACCACTGTTTGACCTATTAAAAACAGAAACGTTTAAACTCTCCTTTACTTCCACCCTTAGCCCCACCCACTGGTGTAACAAGCACAGTCAACCAATACCACTCCTCACTGCCATCGTGTAACAACGATTCGAGGGACTCTTTTCTCAGCTGGCCGTATGACCAGGGTGGCAGGCATTGGTCAAACTAATTTCACACCTCTGGCTGCTGGCTACCCTGGAAAGTTTCCGTAGTGTGGCTCGCTACTCGAGCACTCTCACATGCAGTCGTGAGATTTACACCCACACAACCCTGACCATTCGCATCGCTCAGGGCTCACATGATGGGGTAATAGGGTAACATCTACCCCCAAATTGCTCCCCTACTCCCCTTCCTCGTCCAGCGGCATGGCTATTGGGTTAAGTTTATAGCCAGCGGAACCAAACTTGCAAGTTTTGTTTCAAATCAGGGCTGAGCGGGTGAAGCATTTTCCATCTTACGACAGGTGAAACCCTCGGAAGGGAGCAGATTTTTCTTTCCGTTTCCGCGTTGGACAGGTTTCCGTTTTATACAGGTAATTAAAGAGGAATATCAAGGGAGGAGCGGGGAGATTCCGTTAAGACAGGTTTCCGTTTTATATAGGTTTCCCTTAAGGCAGGTTCGACTGTATTAAAATGTCTGTGACTGTGATATCAGTACAAAAATATTTGGCAATAATGTGATTTTAAAGTCTTTCTTATTCAAATGTCATGCCCTGGGAAAGGAGTAGGGTTAACTGCCCTTAGTGCAAAAGGACCTGTATGTTATGTTGAAGGGGCTAGCACAATAAGAAAAACACATGCGAGATCCATGAACGGGTGTTCTGAGACTTCTTTGTTTAATTGACCTACATTGCATAACACACAGGCGGGTAACACCGACTTGAAATACAATGTACTAATACCGTACTTGGTGTGATAACCGTATCTAGGACACTACACTGTATAGGTTCAACCACTTTCACTATCTTCTCAATGCAACGGAAAAGTGGAAAAAAATTGACAGGAGCACCTTCCTTTGGATTGTCTGTTGACTTATGATCTGATTTATCCACTTCCTTTTACTTATTCTTTTTTCTTTTATTGAAGCTGGCATAGAATCTAGAAAATAAAAATGTTTGTTGAAAAACTTGATTGGTGAGATTTTTCTAGGTAAGTTATTCAAGTGCAGAGATAAAAAAAGAAAGAAAAGAATAGAGTCAGTGTTCAGTGCTGTTGCTGTTTTTTTCATTATGAGTCATTGATTATTAATTTGCTACTGATTATGATAAGCATTTGCTGTAATACTTAACCCAATTCACCCTGCGTTGCCGTGGCAGTACACTTGTGTCCACCCTGGCTTGCTGCGAGCCAGGGGAAAAATCGGTCTGAACTCGACACATTAAACTTAGCCACGCATTTTGCCCAAAGTATTTATAGGGTATCAGTATGAAATTTTGCTTAGATTTTACTTAAATGTTCTTTTAATTTTATTAGAGAGAAAGATGAAGGAAAGAGCAGAGAAAACAATATATTCTTCGTCCGACTGCGACTCATTGGCACTCGATTTAGCAATAGCAGCTTTTGAAAATCTATGGTCTAGATCTAGAGATCTAGCTTTTCTTCGAAGTTTTCAAGGCACTAAAATCAATCAGATTGCCTTGTTTTTCTAGATTTAGATCTAGATCTACTTTTAACTTTCTTTGCCACTAATTATGCCTGAAACAAACTAAAAACATGGTTCATGTATTTCAAGAAATACAAAAATAACAGTGGTTTTGTTGTTTTTTGTTGCTGTTTTTTTCTTCTTCTCGTCCATGAAAATTCCAGTACTCGCTTTCTTGTCATGATTTGCAGTGACAAAAAAACAAAAGTAACTCGTACATGACGAAAAACTGGATCAAAACAGGCTTGCAAAAGGTTAGGACTCGATTTTGTGGACTGGTATTTTGATATGACTATTCTCGTAGCTCTCTGGACAGAAGCGCGCGGCAGCTACGAATATACTCGTAGCTCGGGTGCAATGGGTTAAGACAGCGAAATGTAGTTTGTTGTCCCAAGGGCAGGGTGAAATGATCCAGGGCCTATCTGTCCCCATGGTTTTATGCACCCCACATAATTTAGCTAAATTTGATCATTTTTGGCATAATTTCTGATTATTTTCCTTTATCATTCTTTGTTAAAATTAACAGAATCCCATAATTTCACATTTTTGGGCTCAGTTTGCATAATTTCAGAATTTTTCTTGCATAAAACGATGGGGACAGGGTCTATACATGCAACCAGACTGGTTGCGGGTTGGGCATGGTGATAATATTTGTTTTACGGACCAACACAACATCCTCTTGGGTCATGCCAGAATATTAACATAAATAATTCTATCTCTAACCTCAGGTTACGGTTAGTTACAATTATAACTTATATTTCTATCTTATAATTGTGTACAGCAGGAAAACAACAAAAGGAAAAGATTTTAAAAACATATCGTTTTTAATTTTGAGGAGTATTACCATTAGCAATTATACTTGCAATAAATGTAGTTTAACTCTTTATTTCCGAGGGGGGTAAACCCAGTACGCCGGGGCCCTTTTTTGGCACTAAATCTAAAAATGACGAAATCGTCAGTAACTGGGTCATTAAATCGAAACTAGCGAACTTATTATGATAAAACTTCATCTAATGAATGAACTTCCGAGAGAGAATGTTTAGTTGCCCTCAAGACTTTTGGCGTCATGAGTAGAGAGAAGTTCGGTCAGTTTGGCTCTTTAGCGAATCAGAACTAAAAAGTTCTTTAAAAAATGACCACTTCAGGTCGAACACGCACCATGCGCAGCCCTTTATAGTCACCAGAGTGCAGACTTCAGTAGTCGAGTCCCATGAAACGTCTGTCCAAGTGGGTGGTTTGCTTCTTCTTGCCTATCAAATATAGATCTATCGTCCTTATCTCCCCTTCTTCTTTTTTATGTTTGTTACTCTCTTGTAACACCTCTAATCATCTGGCGCTCGTATGACCTTATGCAGTTGCGAGCGCTGTAAAACCTCTACTAAAACTAAACTAAACTAAAAAACGTCTGTCCATGGATGATCTGCGGCTAGGACTTTCCTACACCTCAGTAGTCTGCATTCTCATGGCAGATCTTAACCTACGACAAGATTCTATACCATGTTCATCTTTGCTAGGCAGAGATGACATGGATCAGAGCATGGCAATGTGTTCATAATTCCTCGATTGTCTTATAAAGAAGGATCATTTTCTCGATTACATTTGTTTTAGTGCAAAGCCCATTTTTACGCTGCAGGATATGTTAACTCCAAAATTGCTGTCTATTGGCCCCCTCCCCCCCCACTCAATTTTCTCTAGGAGCCACTTCTTAGTGAACATATACTGTGTATGTGGCTTTAAAAACTCATGGTTTAGCAGGTCCTTGTGTTAAGGCGCCACTGAACATTTCGAACGACGCATTAAAAATGTGTCCAAAGGAGGGGATGTGGAGCACTGCTTCTAGAAATTTCAGAATGAAATCATTAGGTTTTTTAAACTCTGTAAAAGAAATTAAATATTGTGTAAATGTCAAAGGGATGGAATATTAATGTCAAAGAGAAAATAAAGAAAAAGGTCAACTAATCTTTTCACGACTTCCTTTACAAGATTTTTAAACATTGGTGAAATTTGCGTTTTTGGGTGCTTTTTTCTTTTAGCCGTTTCCGTTTTCAAAACAGGTTTCTTCTTCGTGGATTTTATATCAAACAAATTCCTTTTGAATGAATTATGTCTGTTCCAAATTACAACATTCTAGAACAATTTTTGCGCGAGATATTTAGAAAAAAAGTTGTAAAGCTGTATTACATGATATATAGGGACATACAAATAACTTAGTCTATATTTGACATGCTTGGCATACTGCATTTTTATGATGTATGTCAAAAGAAATTTTATTGAGGAATTTATTGTTACAATTATTTATATACAGTGGAAACCTGATATAACAGGGATGGTGGGAGTAGAGAAAAAGTCCTGTTATATCCGATCCCTGTTAAATCCGAAATGCAAGGAAAGTGGACATTTGTGGACTAATCTAGCTGTTCTTATTCATGGGTAGTTTCCCTAGCCACAAGTACCCACGAACATGGGTTTTGGCAACGACTTTCTCCTTGCGTCCTTAAACCACAACAGAATAGCTTGGTCCACAGCATCTACATCGGGTAGTCTCATCTTCTTTCGATCCAGAGCAAACTTTTCATTGGAGTATGCTGCTACTATCTTCTCTCTTTCCTTGATAATGGTGGGAATCGACCCTTGTGGAATGTCGAACTGACGACAAATCTCTGCCCGTGGAACTTGCTTTTTGTCAACTGTCTGGATTATTTCGTATTTTTTTGTCAATTGAAAGGCATTTTGTCTTGCACTTGACATCGTTGGTGACCATAATGAAAGAAGTAGGCTTAGATCTAGGCTGACCGGTCGTCCTCTCTCTCTCTCTCTCTCTCTCTCTCTCTCCCTCTCCCTCTCCCTCTCCCTCTCCCTCTCCCTCTCTCTCTCTCTCTCTCTCTCTCTCTCTCTCTCTCTCTCTCTCTTACTTTTTACACATTGTTAACGAGCCTTTGTCCCTGCTAGAACCGGTTGGGCTCCGATGAGGCCCTGTTATTACCGATAACTTTTAATAGAGACAAAGAGTAGGAAAAAACGAGGATTTTAAACATCCCTGTTATTACCGGATCCCTGTTATTACAGGGCCTGTTATATATTATGGTTTCCACTGTATATTGAAGCATATCAATTTTATAGTTTCAATGATAGGGCATCTGTCAGTGATGCCTACATTATATGGGCATTTGTAGGATATCTATGCTCATCTGTGTGAAGTGAAGGTGCATGCCTTAACAATTGAAGGAAGACTTTCAAAGGTCACAATCATGAGTGTTTCCTTAACTTTTTCTTCTAAGCGTTTCTCATTGGATCTATTGAAGAGGTGAACAAAAAGATAAGCCGACTAGATCATAAACTGCAAAGCTACACTGAGCTCATTTGTGAAAGTCGAGCCTCTGCCTATGACAATGATGGACCTATGCCATCGAGTGCAAGGGGAAGAGACCAGTATCAAAAACGAGGTTGGTTCCTAATTACCAGTTTCAGTTTTTTGTTAGATACTAGTTTGAAGGTGAGGTGAAATTGATTTAAATTGATAAGCGTAAATAAATATATTACTGTTTTAAGTTGAGATGAGAGTGATTTTAATTGATAAAGTGTGAATAAAATTGTTCTGATAGTGTCACATTTTTATGAGGATGCAGTAGCCTATATTTTTGATCTTTTATAATTTGCAGTTGTTATTTTTCTTCCTGTGTTAATAATGATAATAATATATGACATTTATATAGCAATGAACCCCAATTAAAGAACACAGGCTATGAGCGCTTTATAAATACTAGTGGCAGCGCATAAACAGTGCATTGTGCTCTGACTAAAATCTTACGTCTTTAATCTAAACACAGAAATGACTTGAGTTGACTTCTGAATAGATTAAGAGATTTGATTGCTCTTGAGTTATTACCAGGCTGTGTGTTTCAGATCTTGGGATCATGAAATGCCAATATGCCCTTTCACTCATTGTTTTCAGTTTCATTGATGGTAAAAGTAATTTCTACATGTCACTTGATGACCTTAAACTGCGAGCTGGAATGTACAGTTTCAACAGATTTGATAAACATGTTATGATGGAGCATTGTCATTTTTAAGCATTTATGTGACTTAGGGTGGCCAACCTGTACAAAATTCTTTTCTCACCAGGAAGACAGGGCAGAGTCCGTAAAGGAGGTGTAGCAGAGTCTTGCTTTCTTTTCTTTAAAATTAAATCGGCAGCATTGTTTTGAACAATTTTTAGTCTTTTCACATTCTCCAGAGATATTCCTAATAACAAAAGGTTACAATTTATTATAATCAAGTTTTTATAATTTATTGATAATACATGTACTAAACTATTCACCAATAGAACAGTAGGCCGATGTTTGATATTGATTAGATGATGTAATTTACTGATTTTTTTATATTTCTAGGTACATAATGCTTATCATAATATTTAGTCTCTCTTTTACTTTTAGTCTTAGAGATTGAAGAAGCCCCCCTCCCCTTCCCCCTTTTTTTTTCTTTCATCACCTTCATTCTCAAATCCCAAGGCTCATAAATAATTATTTACCTTTCAAGTATATTTCATGCGGCTTATAATTCACATTAAATCTACAGTAGCTATGTTCATTAACTTATATATATATTAGATCTTATGCTGTATTTAGCTTGCTTATTTTTAGTAGAGTTTAGAATCTTCTTAATTAATTAAGAGAATATTTTAAAAGTTGTCCCAGTTGAGAGGCAGTAATGCAGTGCAAGTCTCTAGTCTAAGCAATAATAAAAAAAAGAGGAGACTGTGGATAACATATTGTTTAAACATGTGTTGGTGACTGTAACATGTGTATGTGTAAATGCAAATTTATATTCACGTGTTCATGTAGGGTACCTGTGTGTGTGTGTGGGTGTGTGTGTGTGTGTGTGTGTG